AAGCGAATTGTTAACACGGCAGTGTTTTTATACTGTGAGAAATAAAACCCACAGTACAGTCCCTTCTCACGTTAATTGGGACAAATTCTTCATTTGATTATAACTACTGAGCGAAGCTCACTTTGTACATATTGAGAAATAAATTCCAAACCCAAGTTAAACGGGTATCTAAATTTTTTTTTAGGTGCGACCCACTTGGTAAATGACTAAATGTAAATGACCTTTATATTAACATGGCCGGTTATCAGTTGTTGTCGTCCTTGTGCGCTATGTTTTGTGCTTCTAATCATTTCAATAACAATTTTGGATAATTGACACCGCAGAATGCAAACGTTTTATCGAAAATATAGGGGCTGTGGGTTTGCTAGCGGTTGGGTCAGATATGCAAGCTCTTGAGAACATTTGGAATTTAAGCATTTTTAAGGCTGTCAAATTACACACATTCTTGAAGGCGGAAAATTAAAATATTGAGTTCTTTGAAATTCTAGCTGAAATGTGAGGCAACTCATGCTAAGGTTAAGTCCGTCCGACGCTTTTCAGTACTGTATTTAACCGTGCCGTATATTGGAATAAAATTACGTACGTACAGTATTTTAGTAACTCGATAATAAATTAACTGTGTAAAATTGGGAATATCTTAATGATGTAAGCGTAGTCACAAAAGCAGTGGTTTCATACTTTCATTTGAATTTACGGGTATTGCAGATACGAACACTCTAATGATAATTATGTCTATATTTTGGTTTTCTATAGTTTCTGTATGTGCTTCTATAAAAAGGTCACGGCACATGTGGCACCATTTAATACCTGCAATATATCCAAAAATCTTACATAGTGTTATATGTTGTCAATAAAGTGTTCTGTACAAAGGACATTCCTCTTTTTAGATCTGCTGAGTTGAACACTTTCAGCCATGGTTTTATCCAATTTTGTTGCGAACGTCTTTCATTAAAGAAGCGAAGGACAAATAATTTATGTCTAATTACAATCGGAGTGAAACGTAATCCCGAAAAAATCACTGAGGATTTTTCACACTTTGTCACGACACTTCTGTGGACAAATCTTATTATTTAGATCTGACGCTTTGCATGCTCAGGTTAGGAGTTTTTTCCTCTTTTAGAACAAATTTTAGAAAATTCACTGATCTTTACTGCTTTAATTTCTAAATTCTTTATTGCTTTCTTAAATTCTTTATTTCTTAAATTCTTTATTGCTTTGAAATTCTTTACTGCTTTCTCAAGAAATTAAGGACGGTGCGAGACCGGGATGCACAAAACTGATCAAAATCCAGACGGTAGAAAAAAATGAACATTTCAAGGAAACAATTTGCTGTTTCCGGCGTAATTGAAAGTTGAGTAGTATCTTAAACGTGCATAAACGACAGGCCATATTGATCTAAAATACCTTGAATTCATAGGCACGAGAAGGCTGAAACGAAAGGAACTTGACGTCCGGAGAGCATTTGTTTAGTTATTTCGCTGGATAGTTTACATAAGGAGTTTCCAAATGATGATAAAATTTTTTGTTATAGTATTCGTGATTATAGGATTTTGAGTTACAATTAACGACGTTAATCGATGTTAATGTTAGCTGGAGGATGTGTGCTCCCGCTTTTCCTCTTTTCACCATGTGTAGCCAGTTACCTGTGCTGGTGGCGCTGCGTGTTGCTCTGACCGCGTAGAACAAAGCGGCCACCGGCACTCACGCGCCTGCTGCTTGCGCTCGGTACTTTTTCTGTGCCCGCGTTGGGTTCTGCGTTTCGGGCCGATGTTCTTACATTTCTTGTTCGTGTGCGCGCGAGTAATTTGTTCTTTACCACCCACCACACTCTGCGGTTTCTTCTGTTGTTATTTCGCGTTGTTCAATAAAGGGGCCTTCGGTTGCGCAGGGCACTGGTCACTCTCTTCCGCCAACCACCGATCGGCCGGCTTCTCGCTGACCCACGGTCACCGCCACAGCCGATCACGAGAGTACCAGTCGCCCAGCTGCCGGGGTTCCAGAGCCCACAGTGGACACCGGAAGCGGTAACATTTGTATGATTTGGTTGTTTTATTGTCATAATTATGAATGCATTATTCGCAATAATAAATTGTACCACGCCGTTTTGTTTGCCACACTTTTTTGGGGAAATTTCTCGAATTTGCTTATGATCTGAGCTTTGTTCTTTGCTGTACCTAAACGCCGCGATTCATTTCCGAACAGCTACATGCAGTATACGTACATGTACCTACGTATCGGAAAATAATTAGATTTACCGTTTGCCTATTATAATAAGCAAACACAGAGTACATATACGAGGGTACCTAATCAAGTAATGTCGTTCGCATATAAGTTATGAAATAAAAAATATGAAATCATTTTTAAAAAATAGGGCATTCATAACTGTATCAGTAGGCTGATGGCCGAGTCAATGCCCCCTCTCGGTGGCAGTCAGCATGAGTCAGAGCAACCCTAACTCACATAAAATTTAATTACCAATTAAAAACTGGCGCACATTATCGTAGCATGGGTTTTGCACTATTTTACATAAAAAATTCCTATAGAAGTGGGACCCAACCCATTGACTTTTTGACGCGCCGCTTGTGTTTATGGATGAGGGTCGTTCTTTATAAACTCGTAAGCAAAGTGCTTCTCGTCTCCGTTCTGAAAATTTGACGTGGGACAACAGGAGGTGGTCGGAACAGTCTACTTTTGGAGGAGCCAAAACTTGAGCGCCATTGTAAAGCGTCTGGTTAAAAGCCATCCCCGATTAAATTTATTAGGTAGACAGCTGATCAAGCACAGATTATTGAGGCAACTCCGAAATCCTTTCTACTCATCTACCTGATTTTCCGCAGTGTGGCGTACCTTCGGGTACCTGTTTTGCTGACTTATGGTGGTACGCTTTCTTCAGTTTAACTCCTCAAAGAATAGCCAAGTTACTATAAAATAGCCATCGGTATAACATCTACAACCACGAAAGATTCTGGTTTTCATACCGCGATGCATAATGGAAGCTGCAGAAGAGGACAAGGTTCTGATACTGCTGTGCAAAGCCTTGAATCAGGGAACACTCCATAGAACGTTTTTTGCTTCTTTACAGCGTAATAACGATTTTGTAACAAAATATTTTTTATGCCGTGAAACTATTATAATCTATGTATAATAATCTGCAAATATTTTGGAAACTTTCTTTGAGAAAATTCAAAAAAAAGGGGACGGAAGGCGATTTACCGGTGCAATTTGGCATAACGACGGACCAAGACCGTTGCTTCTAAATACTAAAAAATTTATGCTGATAAGCCCGATGTATAGATACTTCCGTAAATAAAATTAATAATTACCTTAGACTTGCGCAGTTTAAAAAAATTTCCAGATCTAAACGATTTTCTGCAAGGTAATTAATTAACGAACGAAAGACTAACTCGAAGAAAATTTTGATGATGCCATCACTTAATAATTTTGTAACTTTTTTGCATCAACATTTCCAATCGGGACATAGATGCAATTTATGTGTAGAGAGTGTATGAACAGTTTTTTGAAAATGTTGGATTAATTGTATGAATCTAGGAATAAATAAAAAATATACGACATGACTTGATTAAGCACCCTCGTATATTACTAAAATTAGTACAAATTCCTAACGATCGAAACGATTTGAAATAATATGCATGCAGTGAATGCGCGCAAATACCAGTACGTATGTACTCGTATGATAATAAAATAATTATTACTTATTCGCTTCTAGAGTTATAATAAGTGCAGTACATACTGTGCTTAAATGCGTATTGTACCTACGCAGTACGCACTATGGACTGCGATCCAACGTGCGTACTAAACGCAGTGCGTTTTTTCGCGACCTTTGATAGCTTATTAAGGGATTTGGCCCGGTACATAGCGCAAATTCGTGTACACCGACGGAAACTTTCGCTGTCGCGCACTCCCAAACACTTTTTTTGCATTGCTTTATGGTAGTTTGTAGCCAAAGATTTGTATACAATTATACATAGGCGTGAAATCCGTTTGTGCGCGCAACATCAGTTCGGGAGTTATGGCTGTTAGAATATTCAAAAGTTTAAATGCATTCAGGTGTACCAAAGTCTCATTATGGACGATCCTATCAAATTTTGCACATAAATGCGCATTACCATGAAGATTGTTTTGGTACGGATCCAAATTTCATGATTTTTTCAGATTTTAAAATGAATTTCAAAATTTTAAAATTCATTTTAAAATTCGAAAAAATCGTAGAAGTCTGGATCCATTACAATCTTTAACTTCATGTATGAAACCATGAAAGAATCGGTCCATAATAACACACCTACATAATCCCACGAAATATTCTAACAACTCCACGAACCTGCACTTCACACTATCATCCTGTGGATCTTTGAGATTACTCATAACAAATTTGTACCGCCATACGTAATACTAGCATGTGTATTGGTATTATATGCTATACATTAGTTGCATAGCCTAGCTACTGTATATTTCTAAAATGTAGTAATAATTATATACTATACATCAGTTGCTAAGCTAGCTACATGTAACTATATTCTCAAAATTTAATAATGACTGTTAAAAAACTACAGTTTTTTGTTAATTTTTTTCGCAAACCCGTTCTGCTTACAAATGCCTCTTTATCGGCAGAAAAACGGACAACTGCAAACAGAGCATCATAAAAATGGGCGGATGGTTGCTCGGCTCAGCACTCCCTGTACTTGCTGCCGTCAGCCGGCTGGAGGTTTACGTTGTGGCTAATCATGATGCTTATGCGCCTGATTTAACCGTATGTTTTGCCGCAACGCCACCGTGGCATGGTGCTTATGTACCGCGCTTGATTTAACCGTATGTACGTACCCCCGCAGAAGTTGCATTTACTAGTATTGCCCTTACACTACGTACTATTTTATAAAAATTATTCTTATTGTTAGCGTTGCAGCGTTAAATTATTCCTGTCAGGCTGTCAGCATTACAGCGTTTCCTTATCAACAAGTTTTCCATTTAACAGTTCTTCTGAATTAATTATCGGGAATTTCTAAGCTAATCGCCCATTAAAAAAGCAAAAAAAATTACGTACTACGTAAGGGTTTTTTAAAGTACGTACTACGCAGGGGTTTTCTTTCAGGCACATCCCGTCCTTTTATTGTGGGAGCTAATTGATTTGATGATATTTTTCATCGGGATATTTGGGTGCCCGCTTATGAAGGAATTATGAATAAATCCATGGTAGTGGGTTTCACGTTGTTTTTCCTGGTTTCTAGCAGCATTCTGCAATTTTCTGACGCATGTGCAGCCAACTCTGCGAGCAGACTTACCAGAACGGAAGCAGCAATAAACAGCGTGAAGTCCGACCTGAGGGCCGTGATCGAAGAATGCTGGAACTATACCGGTAGGCCAATTTATCCGAAAGATTTTGCTAGTATTACCAGCTAGAAAGTGTATAATTTTAATTTTACATAGAATTTGCGAACATCGCAGTACGACATTGACAAGTAATTTAGCACAAGGTCAATTTCATGCGGTTACCACGATGGCCGCACTAATAAAATTTAATTGCGGATTTGCGGTGTAAAACATACTCTTATTCGAAGAAAAATTCTCGTTGCGAAAAACTAAGAACGGAGATTGAGAAGAATATTTTTTTGCCAAAAGAATATGATTGTTTTTTCCACGTAATGTAGACACCTAATTGCATTTTGCTTTATTGCTTATTAATGATTTTTATTATTTAGCAAACTTGATTATATTGATTTTATTTTGTTTATTTATTTCTTTAATTATTTATTATTATTGTTTATTTTGGTTATGTATTTCTAGCATTAAAATATGTATGTATTGCAATTTATGTTATGACTCTTATGGCTGCAGCTTGGCGCCTGATTGTGAATGCGGTACTGATGCATGCTTCAGCGAAGAAAAATCCAGTTAGGCTGCCGGAGCTCTCTCGGCCCCTTCCCGACCCTAAAGTTCATGTGCGACGGCCTAGCCTGGACGAGTCGATCAGTCTGGCTTGTGCGGCCCGCATGACGCAGCCAAATAATGTCGTGTGGAAACACAACGGTCACCTGTTAACCGCCCAACAAACCGGAGGTGACCTTCAGTACAGCCGCACCGGCGGCAACACCCTTATCCTGCACAATGTCACCTATGCGGCGTGGGGCAAATTCGAATGCCTGCAACGCTGTCAGTCAGACGGGATGGAATCGTGGTGCCCGATGGGAGAACACTGGGTGTTTCCAAAGCCAACAACCAGATACCACGAGGTGTTCGCGCAGCGCATGCCGCGTATCATTGTGCCGCGGTACATGCCATTTTCGGTAACTTGCCAGCTGGATTTCCCTTGTGGTCCTGATCCGCTGCAGCACTTTATCTGGCGCTATGACGGCGTTTTTTTGGCCTGGCCAGCCGGTCACTACCTGCAGCAGACGTCCTGCATCGACACTCACCGGCATACGCTGATGATCCACACTAACACCTCCGAAATAACCGGGACTGACGGCCGCCCGCACTGCGCCTCGACGCTGACGCTGCACGTGCCCTGGCCAGAGCACACCGGCAGCCAGTTGGAATGCTGGGCGCGCTCCGACACTACCCAGCAATTGTGGTATGTCCACCCCACTTCCGTCCAGTTCAACGGAAGCCTCCCATTTCCCGGATAACCGCTGGCAGCACTAGTAAATTATCCTAACATTTTTTTGACTTCAAAATAATTCAATGGTGAAATTAGGAATTAGTCCTGTTCTTGTTTTTGCAAACAATTCCTATAAGTGGATATGGTTTTTAATTGGTAACTGTCGATTGCGTAGATATCTATGTAACAACCTGTATAACAACGACTGTTACTGGCTTCCCATTGTACAATACGATTACAGATGAAGTATCGCTAATTACTTACTACTTACTAACACTACCACGCTACTTTTGTCTGCTGAAATCTAAATTACTGTACATACAAGCTCATTGTGTCGCTGTGTTACTCATACATTATGCAATAATTGTATGCCTGTACACAATTATCCAATACACACTGTACATAATACGCAAGGCAAGTTGATTTCCTACGACATTTCCCTGACTCCTTATTTTTTTTACTGTCCATTTGCCTCACCGATGCTTTAAGCAAACTCTTCATTCACTGGATTATCTTAAAATCTAGCTCTTGTTACGAATTAGAATTGCTTTAAAACGTTCCTGCTGATAAAAAACATATCTAAATGTTGACAGTTTATGCCTGGATGGACTGATTTCCTGGACACTATGCTGGTTCCGCAGTCTGTTTTACTTAGCATGCGATTATGTGTTTGTTTCCGAGTATGAAACGTAAACCAGAAATGGCGACCATCTGACAGCACTTGCGGCCATCTTATACTTCATAGTCCTTTTAATAATGGCAGCGACTATGGCATGTATTGTGGGTATCAGTATAAAATACAGTAGAGCAGGACCAGTACAGATAACCAGTCTCCATTTTCTTGCGGATCATTGCAACTTGCCAAAGGAAGTACTATTCGGCATTAAATTCTATTTTATTCGGCCACCTTTCTTTACCTAACCTTACATCTGCGGCACGATGAAAACGTTGCAATTGTTTGCTATTGTTCTGGTGGTTTTTGCCCCTAATTGCGGCACCAGCGAGGATGTAATCTGGCAAGATGTCGGAGTTTACGGCCCCAAAACCAATTCTACGGAGAATAAGGTCATGAACGAAATCCTAGAGCTCCAGGACAAGATTAGCAGCCTGGAGATGACGGTCAAACAAGAGAGTGAATCGATCCTGTATAAAGGTGCAATAGCCCTTTCGTTTACTGTCATTGGGTCTACCATTGCGACTGGAAAACTTTCGTTCAAATTGGGAAAATACGTTGGGGAAAGAGCGGATTCCAAGGGATTCTGTAAAACATGCAAAAAGAAGCGAAGTAAGTGGAACTATTTTAAGTACGATAAAATGCAATGGGCGATATTATTCTTATATGTTTATACTTTTATAGTCTTTTATTTTTATATCCTGATATATTGATATTCTTGTGTGATTGCTTATGTTTCCTTATATTTCCTTTATTTTCCTTATTCTTCCTCATGTTTCCTTATATTTTTCTCATGTTTCTCCTGTTTCTTCAATGTTTTTCCTATGCTTTTTCATGTTTTCTAGTGTTCTTTATGTTTTCTTATGTTTTTTCAGTTTTTCGTATTCTTGTGTCCTAGTATTCTAGTTTTTGGATGCTTATATTCTTGTAGTTTGGCAATCTTCTAGTCTTGTTTTCTTATTCAGGCGCCGACATTCGTCACCGACACTGGAGGCTGTACGGATCGATTATAATTTAACAAAGTAAGTGCACTAGCAGTTTGATTACAGTATTATGTTTTGCATGCATTACAAAATTAATTATGTTTTGGACTTCCAGCCGCCGGCTTTCGTTGCCAGAGACTGACGGAATCAACATCGACCGTAATCCAGAAATCGAGTAAGCAAAACTGTTAGAAATATGGCAGTGTAATGCATGCATTTCAAATTGTTGAATTTCAGCCGGCAACGATGTTCCCCTACACTGGCCCCTATCCAATTTGGGGTGGAGCGCAATCCGGGATGACGAAATTAGGGGGATCCAAACGCAATCATTCGCTGTAATGTTCGCTTAACTTTGCGTGGTTCGGTGTGGTTGTTGTATGACGCTGCTTCAGTGCGATCAGTGCGATACAACAAGCCAGCTAATCGAATTCTTTCTTAAACACAAACAACACTTCATCAAACTGCTTTCTAATTTTTATCGTTTGTTAAACTATATTTAATGAAGAAAAATAAGCGCAAAAACAAAGAGTATTTATTTCAAATAATATTAATAATTATAAGAACTGAAAAAACCTGCAATTTTCCATACTCGCACTTGCGGCACAGTGATTAAGGATGTGCCCTCTTCCACCTTGCTTATGGGTCGAACAGCCGTGGCTGCTTGTATCGAATGAACAAGGCAGCAAAGTGAGTAGATACTCTAAAATCAGAATTAGAAGCCCTCTCACCACCCTCCAAAATTAACGCTCCCTGCGGTTTTGAACGCCCCCTCCCGTAGATCGCGAAATAATAGACGCTCCCCAGAAATTAGCGCCCGTGACTCTTATTAATAAATACGGCGCATCCGCTTTATTAGTCTGTTGTGCTCTTTGTGCGTGCACGCCGTGGAATCTTATACAGTGGGTACATCCTACTATATTTGGTGACTTCCACCCATGCACATTCGCTAAATCTTCAGTTTTGACAGAGGTTTTAGTAGTTTATAATTATTTATGATCTGTCTTGTTATTGCTGAATGCCATGAGCGCGATATTCACTTGAAATGTTGACCGCCCCCTTCCTCCCTCACAATAAACGCCCCTCTCAGAGCTGTCGAAACAATGAAAGCCTAGGGCGTTAAATTCGGAATTTACGTATTCCGAATTTTATAAACATTAAAGCGAATAGTAGTCCATTACAGCGAATGATAGTCCAGTGACATGCTGTACATACAACTTGAGCTGCATCGCTAACAAGCCGTCACTGTGAAGCCACCGATGGACCGCCGCATTAAGCGTAATCGGACTACAATAATCATAATAATAATAATAATAATTATTATTACTGGCATTACTCTGTTTCAGTAATAGTGTTACTGTATACTAATGCGTGCATGCATCTATTAGTTTCGCCATGCATGAATTGGCAGACACAAGAGTGGATAATTACTAGTACTTTTACGTAATTTGATCATCCATTTTTTCACACGCTAACTGGAGGGCGTTTATGAGTCGGCATTTGGTGTGGTGTGATTCGTGTCTCGGGTTTTTCAATGCAAAGTCTATCCATTTCTTGATAATTATTGGCTTGTTCATTATTGGCATAATAGCAAACTGATTTTTTCAGTCAGCTGCTGGTCAGTTGGTCACAACAAAGCTGCAACGACCGCAAACGATTACCATGTATCTGTACAGTCTAGCTAATCGTAAGATTAGCGACGACTGTCTCTATACGAGTAAAATGTCATCAGCTACGGACGCGGTTTCGACTGCAAAATCGTAACCGTTAAGGATTCTCAAAATTTACCTATACTTCACGATAAATCATCAGCAATTATGGTTTTCCAAAGGAAACAAATACAAACTACAGATAACCAGAATTCTAGAAGTACTGAATTTGTGCCATCAGATTAAACAGCACCTCAATGCGTTTTCTGTACGGTAATAACTTTCTCCTCGTGAATATAGAATACATCCTAGTAGATTAATGATTTAGGCATTTCGGTGGTATGCCGGCGCTCTAAATATGCAGTATCTAGATCTCTTTAGATATACAGATGCACTACTTGCGTTTCGACAGCGACCGTGCTTGTATAGTGTGGCCCAAATATCAGAGAAATACAGGTTAACTGAGAAAATTGCTCATTATCATCGATAGGTTTGCAATATGCATGCACTCTGGGACTCAAGATAATGTTAACGCATACCCACCCGAATGCGTGGCGCTGTCGCTGTGATTATTATCAGTTTTTTAAGTCCACTGTATATGTTAATTGTTGTGCCAAAGCATTCCCATAAAAGAGCATCACAAATAAAAGATTCCATCCAGTTTATGCATACAGTACTGATTGCGCAACATCGACGCGATAGCTGAAATATTGATTTCTCGACAACAGAGCAATGCCTTCGCCCCGGCCCACTGTAAAATTATGTAACATAAATGCCGAAACCAGCAAATAATTATCGACACTGTGCTGTGTGATGTTAGGTATTGTACGTAACAACGGTACTGTAAATAGGATTTTTCGATGAGTGCGTATTATAGTCATTTTGCGGTATAATTTTGTGTTAGATGTGGCTCGCACTGGTGCTTCAGTACTTGTGCAGTTGCTGCTGTCGGTTACGGTTGCAGCAATGCACGTGAATTTAATTGCACCTATACGTTTGCATACGTACATTATTGCAGTAATTAGTTACTGTAATAGGTAACTGTAACTGTGATTAGTTAAACTGCCACAGCCAAATAACACAGCCGTCCGGCTCCGCATAATGTGTGCCATTGCATGCTCGATCTGATGAGCGCCGCCAATCTTAATGAAAACAAACCAAATACCCCGGATCGATTTTGCAACAACGGTTTGTGCACATATGGACAAACTGTGCGCTGGGCTGAACGGCTTATAAGGTTTAAGCTTGAACGCTTGGAGGAAGCTGTGCTCTCAGCCTGCTCTGCCGCCAGTGGCCAGCTGTCCGACGCTGCGCACTGGTGGTACATAAAATATGTTCACAAACTGATGATACCCGATTGAGAAAGTAATGGGAACACGCGCTGTGGCAACTGTACTATGTACAAGTCGGTCCGGATGATGAGCTCGCAAAGATATCGCTCATGCAAATTGAGTGCGCTGTTGGCGCTTGAGACGATGGCCACTACACTGCAATATTCACATGACGAAATTGACACCTACAGTATACAAAATGGTTTTTGATTTTTATAATTATATATTTGCTTAATGCCTCCAAGATTTATTTTTACATTATATTTGACAGTCAATAACCATGCCAAATGCACACCAGTGCGATCGTCTTCCATCTCCTTTTTTGCACAAAATCAACCTGCGGTCTCGCATCCATAGGCACAGACACAGTTAGCGTCAATAAAATCGCAAATTTCGATGTTTTCTCAGCTTAATGTATCGCTTTTACAGTTAATCACGGTGTTACATGTTTTCTTGATGTTTGAACTGTCTATAGATCCTGATAAGGAGTGATTCCTTGTATCTGTAGACATTAAGCAATTAAAACCTAAAACCTAAACCTAACCTAATAATTTTTTTAGTTTCTATCACCAGCTCTTGCGGCAAAACTATCCAATGACTTCGCCGACTTTGCGCGAGAATTGCTATTTTAATGTGATCTGTAACTTGTACTAGCACCTTGCTTCAGTGAATTTATTTCTAATCATGATACTATTTTATGTCATGATTAGAAATAATTCGAAATCAAACCTAAAATAGTATCATGTGTACAGTAACATTCATAACAAACGCAACGTAAGTAAGATAACATACATACATAACAAGCGTAACACAAGTAACATGACAATCATAACAAGCATAACATAAGTAACATAACATACATAAAACCTTTTTGCACGAACGGCTCGTCATAGTAATCACCGTAACTACAGTGGAACCTCCTACTTTGAACACCCCCGAACGCTGAACACCTCTGTACCTGAATGAGATCAATCGTGTGTTGTGTAGTAAATCTGCGTTAGTATGATGGTACTACGTATATTATAGCTTGATGTGCTATGTGACTAATGATGTACGAGTGTTGTATGAGTACGGTAAAGTGTGTGAATGTAATCTTAAATAAAAAAACATATCCCATTTCATTTAGTCTTACTTAAACACTCATTGCTTTGTTCGCCTATAAAATGGCAGTCTGGTACTGTTTGATACGGGATTTTTTTGGAACTACTTCTACGAACAATCGACCGAACGTACCACATCAAACCCCCTGCCGAACTCTGCTTTTGATCCAACTCGTATTACTGTAGTCCATTACTGTCTCGATCATTGTGCTCCACTGGCTACTGGGCCCCGTATAAGCACTCCAGTACGGAGCGCTTTTTTTTTCAAGTCTACGTTGTAGAGACTTGGTGTACAAGTAGTATGTATATTGTAGGTAATAACAATGGAATTAGTTGAATGTGTGCACTGTACCCATTTGTGTTCATAAGTCATAACGTAATCATGTGAAAAATGGAGCAAAAAAGCCAATTTTTCACGTTATTAGACTGGACGCAGTGCGCAGCCGAGCGTTACGCACTGCTTGTACACATACTTTATGCACAAACGGCTATTACAAAATTGGGACACTTTCATGCTCCACAAGATTGCCGGCCTGCTCGTTGAGCATAACGGCTCATAGGTAATAGTATTATTGGGCTGTGGTATTGCCGTAGCCCCCAAATAGCTAAAGTTAAATTACTCGTATTACAGTACGTACTCTAGGCGGACACGCCTTAATTTGTCTGTGCATGACCGACGTACAGATTAGCGCGTGATCGACAACAACAACAACAATTTTATTCCCCAGATTTTTTCTGGCAGGAACGAGGTGCGCAATGGGTTGAAGTGGCAGGAAGTTAATAAAGTTTATGCTCAGTATTCATCGTAAAATAACACAAATGATTTAGTTTCTGAATAATTTCGCGCAAAAATGCGGCATTTTTACATCGAAGGCAATATTGCTTCCGGGAAAACAACCCTCTAAATTTGTTATTAAAACTGCGAGAGCGGGTCGTTTTCGAGCCCGTAGAACAGTAGCAAAATGCGCACCACACCCATGCGGAACTGATTTCCAGCGTTTTGCGCTGCAGTCCTTGATCGCGAGAGAGAATGCGTACAATATTATTTCCAACAATGAAGGAATGCAACACAAGAGGATTTTCCTAGAGCGATCCCCATACAGCTCCGCTGCAGTAATGGCTATTAGCGGAGGTTTCGTTACACAGTGATACAAAAGGAAAAAAACCAGAAAAGCGTTGAACGACGAGAAAATCTAAGAGAATTTCTGCCGCCTGCCACTACCGATTTTGACAAGATATTTCGACCGCCCAGTGATGCAGGTGAGGTACTGTACCCGGCTCTTAAGAGCGCTTTCTACTGTCTTGCGAGCAAAGCCAGATTGCACGTGCTCCGCATTAGCAGAACAAGGAAGTGCGCAGTCGCGACAACGGACGGATGCCTACTTCGGAATTTCGCAAGCCGAATTGCTTAGCACAAAAAGTGTGATTTTTTACAATTTTCCTACATACACTTTTCCACCTTGAAGAGACAATCACTGTATCTATCCAGTAGGGAGCAGGACCTAGCTGAGTACAGATCGGAGACTAAGCAGTTCGGGCGAGTTCCATTCAACAATACTCCCGCTACTCGGCTCTATCAAGCAACGCGACTGCCGACTCAGAACTCAGAAGATCGTAAGGATCACACCAGTTCGATGCCTAACAAACGTTCCCTCCTTTAGTTTCAGTTTACCGATTGTTGCGTGTCAGTTTGGAGGGAGACGACGAATCAGTGGGAAAGCCACAACATGGCGTACACGTATGGGTATGCGCGATCCAGCTTTACGCTTGTATTATTGTATTTAATGTTGCCAAATTCTCGCTCTTGTAACAATTTTGATCCAATCTGCAAAACGGAAATTTCTGTGAGCGAGTGTTGGCGGATCCCAGAGTAACAATGATCTGTATTTATTCGTGCTTAGAGATCTGCCAGCTTACGACGAAACTGCTGCCAGTCCGCTAGTCTCCGTCTTCGACTTTGTAAGTTTACTTTGTTCAAAATTTCTTCGTTATTGACCACTTCTTTCATCTTTATTCCAGGGTAGTCAATGCTTTTTAGAATGGACTTTAGCTTCCTGTTGTTCTTTTGCAGGACACAGATCAGGATACGTTACCAAGCCAAGAGAATGAAAGATGGAAATCAGGACTGCCCGAAGTATTGTTTTTACATGTGGAACCATGTCCGTCGACCGTCGAGAATCTTGGAGCTGCTGAGCGACCTGCTGTTGCTGATTATAGTTCGCGATTGTCGCCAGTGGATCCGGTGTGGGAGATTCTTGACCCAACTCCAGACATACGAGACTTGTTCCGGCAGTTTGATCGGGACTACTTTGGGAATACTCTCGGAAATGTGAGAGTGAAGTGGTCTAATCGTTTGATGGCGTAAGTTCTAGCCTCGGTCTACTTAGCAGCGTTCTAAGCAGCCATTAATTATCCAATGTCAATCTGCTGCATCATTTAATATTTATCATTAAAATCGACAACTGTTTTTTTGGTTTTTTTCAGCCATTAATTATCCAGGAATAGTCAATCTGCTGCATCATTTAATATTTATCATTAAAATCGACAACTGTTTTTTTGGTTCGAATTCGTTTAACGTTTCCCCACATTAGCACCGCGTAGTGCTTCTAAATTTGAGTTTTTGCAGAGCAGCCGGCGTTTGCTACCCTCGCCGACGTCGGGCAGGACATTACTCCATTGCGCTTAGTTACCCATTGCTAAAGTTCCGTCCGCGAAAAGACCTTGTTGAGACGTTGCTGCACGAGATGATCCATGCTTTTCACTTCGTGACTGATTACCAAGATCCTGAGGAGGACGATCATGGAGTGGATTTTTGCGAGCACCTACTTCGCATCAATAAGCAGATAGGTGCAAACATGGGAGTCTACCATTCTTACCTCGAAGAAGTGGAATATTATCTTCAGCACATATGGCGCTGTAATGGCCTTTGCCGTCACACGGAACCACATTTCGGATATGTCCGGAGCGCCCGTAATCTTCCTCAAGTTCTCTCGACGACTGGTGGGCCGATCACGCTGCGCAATGTGATGGGGTGTTTATCAAAATTATGGAACCTGAAGGATTCTCCAGCAGTAAACGAAGCGACTTGGATTATAAGGAGATCATCAAGTTTGGTGAACCACGTGGAGTACAGGGACCTCCGCACTATACAGTTTCGGTATCGAAACTGTCTGGAACCCCCATACCTCCAGGAGCATATTATGCTTTTTTTGTCGTCATCATTTGCAGATTCACCATATGAAGCCCACTATGAAGTTTCGGTGCCCCCATCGGCACCTGCATAACCGGAAGGATGTGGATTTTCAGAAGTTCGACCATTTTGATACATACTGCTGTATTGCCGAAAATGCTGTGAAAGCTCCGTTGCGACCCCGTGTACCAAGTCCTTAACGTAACTTGCGTTTTCGTTCTCGAGCTGAGTGGAAGGAATGCATGCGCTGTGTGCTGCGTCAACTGTTCGACACTTTTGTTTTATCAAGGTTCTTGGAATCCGAGTGATTAGAACGGAATCTTAAAAAAATTTTTCCCTTGCGTCAATCAAAATTTACTAGTGCCCTTTCGCCAAAATTTGGATGACTCGACCTGGTTGCGGGATAATTTCCACTACTTTTTTTGTGAATTTTGTGTAATTGTTGTGATTTCGTTTGTCTGGTTGCAAAGACAACTGGTAGTACGGGTGAAATTTCGCATTGTGGGTGGTTGCAGTTGAGGCTTCGGTAAAAAAGTACGGATGACCATGGTTTGGTTCGCTGTTTACCATACAACATGGACAACAATAACGATCTGGAAACTACATATGCTGTTTTTCGCTTATAACGATACAGTTAGTTCAAAGAACTACTGTATATATAAATATAATCCATATCAAATGGTGCAAAAGCAAGGCGAGCAGCCAAGCAAAATGAACATAAAGGTCACCAAAAATTTGCACAACATGCAGATGCAATGCAACACGCCTTGTGTGACTGTGTCCCAAAATGAAAAATCTACTGCAACATACGAGTCATTTGAGAGTGAATTCTTCGCGCGGAGACTGTAGTCGTAAGCACTTGCAAGCAATCGAACGCATGGTCAAGCAAAAACATCTGTAATCTGACTAATCTCAGGCTTAACAATCAAGGACTTTGCGCTTTCTATATGTGTCACCGTATCACGCATATGATTTTCACGTTTCGAATCGTTACTGTATCTCATTTTCCTGTAATTTCTTTTCTCACCCCCTCAGAAAATACTGAGTTCTGTTACACAGATGAAGAGGCAGTTGGTGGTAACATTTCCCCGGAAAGCGTTGCTGACGACGAGTTGGAATTTGGCATTTTCATTAACCACAGCTTCCGCCCTGCAGGAGCGTATCGATTCCACCACGTTATCAGCGGTTGTATAAACAAACTGAAAAACTCTTGGCGAAACTGCTGATCCATGTTCATGTAGACGAAAAAGGTGAAAACGTAATCGGTGTACATGACCATCCAGACTAACGGCAGCGCCACCGCCCACGACGAATTATCGGTATCACTGGCCGTGTGGCGGGTTAAATTCATGCACATGAAAATAACAATGGGAAACCGGGAGACAACGAATGATGCAGCACTGTCTAATAAGATCCAGTTGCTGGCGCAGATTTTTCCAGATTGACATTTTCTTGGGGCGGTGTTCTTATTCTGCACGGAACTTTTTGTAATGCGTTGCTGGGCACGCATGTCGCGGATCATGGACTGCCGGTAATGCATAAGAAAAAGGATGACGCCGATGGTTGGAATCAGAATCAGAAAGAATGTTAGCAAAGCCAAGACAATCTAAAATTTAAATAATAATTTTTAGCACGTAGGCATTCATTTCTTTCTCAACTTCTACCATGTACTGGTAAAAGACACTGTTTTTGTTTTTACGTGGCTACTGTATATACGTCATTATTTGTAATGGATAGAATGCACACTTACTTCGGCCACATACTCCACTCGTTCCCAACGGAGAATCCATTCGGGAAACGTGTCCGCATAGTTAACGAACCATGGTTCCACGAAGCAGAACAGGCTAGTTAATGCAGAGAAGATAAACAAGATGACAATAATACGTCGCGCCGTTGAGGCACGCTGGAGAAGTCCAAACCGGAACGAATCAATTAGAAGGAAGAGCCTTTCAAAAGTAAACGCCACCAACATCCTGCAAAAAGTTCAGTATTAATGGCTGGTGGTCGTTGTTGCGTTTCTTTGCAAAATGTAACCACTTAGCGAATACCGTGTCTGTGCAGACATGACGGAAGCCGGCGATCGTATGTTTTTATCGTGATCTTGTACTTTAAGTTCTTATATGCTTAAGTTCTTAGAACTTTATAAGAACGATCTACGGAAAGCGCAATTTCGACTTTTTTTATCTTGATAACACCAGCACGCATGACCTTTCATACTTAGTTGCAGCGCATGCTGACGGCGATGTAAGTCACTATATTGCGTACCAGTCGGCCAGACGCATAAACGTGAACTGAATTCCTTGCATCAGGGAACAGAAAATGTCGATAGCAGTATGCCGACCGGTTCCGGAAGTTCTACCCACATCTGATAAAAATCCATAATAAATAATGTAGTTACCAAGCAGCTTATCGGGGAACCCAGACCATCTGCAAAACCAAAATTAATAAAATATCTATTCTCAGCAATCACCTAATCACATGAGATGCAGTTATTGTTCACCCTTTCATAGTGCCAGAAATTATATGCGAAGTAAATTTGAATTTACATAGCGATCAGATCGGATACGGAAGTGGCTAGCATGTAACAGCGCATGGACGTCTGCCGTTTGTAGCGTGTGCGAGTCAAAATTGTCAGATTCAGTGCGTTTCCCACGCTGCAGAATCCCATTAAGCAAAAGTAAAATATGTGATAAGCCGAATTAGTCTGTGCAATCTGTCCCTCGTTGTATACATGCGAATCGTTCTTCCCGATTTCCATGTTTTATGTCACTTTTAGTAACTTTCAGGCAGTAAACGATAAATCATAAATGGTTTGTCAAGTGCCACTAACAAAGCACTAAAAAATGTATGGGCAATTTTTGGATAACAGAATCAAACGCCGGTAGACAGTTTATGACAAGAAGCTGTCATACTCTTACAAAGTATGTTGTACGTGAGTGCGGCGTGTCTAAAATCACGGAATTTTATTATACTCGTACACAGAATGGCTAAAATTTTATATTTCGAAAAACAACCGTTTTTTCAGCTTATTGGCGCGTTATGCGTAATATACGGGGGCCTTCCTACTGTCGCAGGTTGTTAGATCTTTGTCTTGGTTTATCAAATAACTCGTATTATTGCAGTTTTATCATGCGTGAATTAGTGGACGTGAATGACAGCTAGCGCTTCTGATACATATTATAGTGATGATTGGTACTAACAGCAACGATACCTGTTGTTATTGTTTAGCCCAAGAATAGCAGATGAGAGTTACAAGCGCCATACTGTCTGATATTCAATCGTCGTTTTCAGCCAAGGAGATTTATTTACACAGCAGCAGACGGTGTTTGCCGCAAGCTCGGCAGTCGGCATTGCGTATGACAATCAAACCGTGTCATCAACACCTGATAAAAACGCTGATCTGCCCAGATTGACGCACTGACAAGTGACAGCTGTCCATTTCCGGAACGAAAGACTTCTTCCTTGCGGTAGAGTGAATGTACTAAACAAATGTCATCCCGGCTTTGCAGCGGAATATTCTTTTCTTGAATTGTCTGTACACTTGCTGGTACGCACGATTCAGCGCGAAAATACACTGAAACTGAAATAATAACACTGAAACTACTGAAATACACTGAATTACACTGAAACTGAAACACATAATTACACTGAAATTTGCTACATAAAGGCCTGGCAATCAGGTACTGTACCCGTTCAATCATTTGCCCTTCCATCTGGTCGATACCCTAAACTATCACAAAAACCTTCCAGTGGCAGAAAATAATTAAAGGTCCTTAACTAGTGCACTGACAAAACTAACTTGCCATTTTGAGATTAGATCTGAGATACTTAAATCAGAATTTTCTTATTTGATTGATTATACTTAGTACATACCAGGCACGAGTGCGTAATTTCGGATTCAGAAAGCAAGTGCTTGGTAAGTAACTGCCTTTAAGTTAAACTTAAAATGGGTCTGTATTCGGCAATCGCTGTACTGACATAACCATAAAAACGTTCAGTAAAATAAAAACGAAACGGACTGCAGCAGATAGAGGGTCCCTATTGACCTTTCGGGCCAATACGAGTTTTCGCCAATGCGCTTCTTTAGTTACTACTCGGATTGTAGTTTCCTTACGCGCGGAAATGGGGGCACGTATGTCCCTGGTACAATTTTCATATACTAAATTATCTAAATTAGGTTGCAGTTCTTTTTTATATGTGCGTATTGCTTTTTAGGAAATGGCTAGAGGCACCCCTTTAGGCCTTTCACGTACGCCCGTTGTCTATAAGCACCCCCTTTCGCACCCACTTAGATTATACAGATAGCCACCGCTTTTCGAATAAATATTCCCTGTACCCTGTCGCGTGCGAAAGTCATAGGAGCCCCCTTATAGAACCCCCAAGTCCGTTGTTATGTTTAAAGGTCGAATTACGAGTATTTAGACCTTAGAGAATTTTCAGAAAGTCAGTTAAGTTTCCGGTTGTGTAGCGATAGTTGCCCGGCTTAAATCAATGCGAGCCTATGGTTGCGCTTGACAGCGCGAAATTGTGGAAGGGAACATGCCGGAAAACGCAGTATTCCCCAAAGCTCCCAAAGGGTGCACAAGAGGGTGCCTATAGTAAACAATAAATGCTTACAGTAGAGGGGATGAAAGGGGTGCTTATAGACCCGCCCTTCTTTTTAAGATACGCAGCAGCAGATATTTAAGCAGCAGTACGTATGTAGCAGATAATAACCATTCGCCAAAGTATATCAATCATGGAAGAAAGACTTATCAGAACGCATAAATAATACGCTCATTAGAGCGCGTAAAATAATCATAATCATTTAAATACTGCAGCCGGTATCTGCCGATAATCGGAATGCGATAAACACGTGTTTCCGGTAAACTGGATGCATGAATATCAAGCACGTACCAATACACATCTGCTACATTGACGTGATAATTTACCTTAGGTACCGAGCTCGTACAGTAAATGCCCGAAACGTAGTGGTCATGACACTATATATACCTCTGGTGATTCATCCGAATTAATCTGCAAAATGTGAACACGTGTACGTAGGAATCTCTCCCAAGAATATCCGGCTGTAATGGCATACGTTAACCTGCCGACTAACCGGCTGCAAACTCGGACATGAAGATAAGAGAAAACTGCGATAGAAGTTACAGTACGGTTATATAACTTCTGATGGCGCTAACGACATTACAGAAGAGCCGCAGACGATTAAATTTTCCAGGTTGCGATAACACTATTTAACAACTTTATCGTTGCAGAAGGCAGTACGGAGCGTTTGATCTTTGTAATAATATGGCGACAGCGCAAACCACATTTTACCGATCTGCGTATTTACATACACAACCATGGATAATACATGAATTCATGTCTTGATTCAGCCGAAATACTTCCTCACCGCGTGCGCCATGATTAAGGACGAAATGAACGTCATCCTGGAATGGATCGAGTTCCACCGTATCCAGGGCGTGGAGCACTTTGTCTTCTTCGACGACGCCAGCACCGACGATATCCATCTGCTTCCCCGTTTGTACGAATCCCTGGGTTATCCCGATCTCGTGGAGATCATCCCGCAGAACTTTAGGAAGCGGAATAAACAGAACGATCATTCGTACCGGGACCACGATCAAGGACAGATGCAGGCGTTGAACCACTGCAACTCACGCTTGACCGGTGTCACGGAGTGGTTGCTCGTCACGGACGTCGATGAATTCACGTTCTCCAGCAAGTACCACACCATTGCGGATTTTATCCGCAACACCACTACCAATGACACGAGACACATCAGCGCCAAAGTCATTCGGTTCGGATCGAACGGTGTCCAGCACGAAAACCTTGTACGCTTATCGCTGGATCCGTACACAGACCAAATAACGGTAACCAATGTGTTGCGTAATGGTGATGCGCTACTGACATCTCGGAATCGTCGACGGGGTCCGTTTCCCGGTCTGGATGCCGATTATCAGAAGCGCTACAACCAGACATGCGCACCGACCAAAAAACCTGATGACTGTCAGCACGCCATTGGGAAATCCATCTGGCGCCCCACCAGTGCGGGTTGGCCGGGGTGCACTGGTGCGAGAAGATCCCGGATGGAGTGCGGATGAATCCCACGCTGGAGGAGTTGCGGATTAATCACTACGCGTTCCGCTCGAAGGAGCACGTGGAGAATCTCCCCAAGAACCAGATGGGCAGCATCAAAGGTGGGGTGTTTAATACCTTTGATAAAGTGTGGTTCTCCAGTATGGATGATAGTTCCACGGATCCGTATCGATCCGAATTGCTGGCAAGGCTGGAGGCTTTTCCTAGCATTACGATGTTGTATAAGAAAATCAGAATCGTCAATGCGGAATGGAAGTCTTTGAATCAGTCGTCACGACGAAAGGGTATTGGCAAAGACGGCGGTCGCTTGATAGTTGTTGATTATGTTTCCCAAAATTCTTATCGTTTAGTACTTTATAGCATCGGCTTTGTACTGGTTGTGCTACTTGCATCTGGAAGGTTAAAATTTGTCAGATAAAACGGGGATAAAAATCGAGAGAAAAAATGCGAAACTTGCTGAATTTTACCAATCAAACTTATTTTACCATCTTTCCGCGAAATGGTTTAAATTTTCTGATCCAAAGGAGATCCAAATAAAATGCAACACAAATTATACATGAAAACGTACACGCGGAGTGACCAAAATATTAGGAAGACATTGATATAGTACATCTCTACGACATTGTTAAAACGAAGTGGCTATTTTGCCGCAGTGTTTGCGGTAAAATAGCCTTTAACTATTTTGCCGCACTGGGAAAAAATGCGGCAAAATAGCCTTAGCCTTGTTAAAATAAAGTAATAATTATTATTTCAGGCATGGCGGTTTGCGGATGAACTGAATGTATGCGTATTATCCCGTGAACTGTTGTCAGAGAGAGGAAGTTGGGAGGCTGTCCCATCGCGACCACGCGATTAACTCCTCCCACAGCCATGTACAGCACAGCCATGTACAGTATGTACATAGTGCAAGCGTTTCTTGTGGGTCATGTGCAGTACGCATTATGAATCCACATACTAGCAATACATACATGATGATTGTGCGATGAAGTTGTGGAATAGTAACGCGCTATGCGTAGTTTGCTCGTATTACGTACGTGGTATGACGTACGTGTTGTCTGTTCCGTTACGTACGACGTGCTGTTCTTATCTAACGCATTTGGATCGCTAATTGCATCCACGATTCTGGTTTAACTAATCAGTCTGAAGTTTCTAACTTCAACTAAATCTGTGAGCTTGTTTCTAGCTGAAAGGTCGTGTGACTCTAGGTTAGAAGGAAGTTCATATCTCGTTCTGTTCTGTTCTGTTTGTTCGTTCGTTCAGTTTGGTGATTAAACATTTGGGAAGTTCCTGAGTGTTTGGGTTTCGGTAACTTTCGTTAGGCACAGCAATCCGCTCGTACCTAGCGGAAGTAGGCAGTGGTACCACTTACGGAGTCCAGAGCATATTCCCACTCTACCGATTGAGTAGGTTTGGTCATCTAGTGCGGTTGTCGCGGTGCGACTTCCGCATAGCATGTCATGGCGCCCAACGGATTTTAACAACCCCTGGGAATCTGGATCGTCTGGTAAGTGGTATTGGTTTTTGGCGTTTTGTGTGGTTGTGTTGGTTGACCACGTGGATTCTCAGAGAATCCCGTGAGGCAAGGTTCCTAAGTGAGAACCAGGTGCTTGCCCGCAGTGTGTACCGCAGTGACCTTAGAGGGTTGCGCGAGGCACGGTTCCTAAGTGCGAGCCAGGTGCTGGACGGGAGTCCGTATACTGTACTCGTACTGGTAATTGGTACGGTGTGTACTGAGAAGTGGTGGCGTAAGCCCTGTTATTCGTGTAGCAGACTTACATCCGGGTTCGGTGACCTGGATTATTTGTCTGTTGTTTTGTCAAGCAGGTGCAATGGATGGTACAGTGACTGAACCATCAGCATTAACCGCCGGACATGAGGATGGTGTGGAAGAGCCATCAACGGGAAAAAGTAAACCGTCCCGTCGAAAAGGGATGATAAATGTTGATGAGTTTGAAGCCATGTTAAAGAAGGCGGATTATTTATCCCCGCCTACAGTGCAGTGGTTTCTTCCCGAAGACGAAAAAGTTGGTGATTTTTGCAAAAAGTGGGAAATTGTTCTCCCACGTACTGGAGGATTAAGTCAAGAATGGGTAGAATATGACCTTAATGGTGGTAAGAAACCTGGAGGTTATGATCAGTGGATTCAGGCAGGAAGGAAGATTCCCGCCCGTAGAACGATCCATCTGACCCTGCATGATTACGATCAGCAGTATGGCACTGAACTGCATGAAAAATGGATGCAGTATCTTGCCAACAAAAAGCCTGATCAGTCTGCAGCAGGTAGCAGCAAAGTTCATCCAGGGTCGGATATGCAGCAAAGCGGCAGTCTGCAAGCTGTACTCAGTGAGGGCAATGCACTGTCCGCCAGTGACTCGAGTGGTACTGCGAAGGATACCGCGGTAACTCAACACTTGGACTTGACAGAAATGAATAAGGTTTTGGAGCAAATTAATAATGTTACAGATTATTCAGCTGTTGTTACTCGTGATGATGATGTTAGTGATATGGAACTGGCTGCTGTAGAGAACCAGCGTATTGAAGACGCTGATGTTCACTACAGTCAGAAAGTTGGGAAAGAAAGCGATGAGTCATCAACCGCTGCCGTGGTTGAACAGTTACGTAAAGAGCTGGACGCGGAAAAGTTGCGATATCATGCGCTGGTTTTGCAGCATGATGGTTTAGTGGATAAGCATAATGATCTAGTTGATAAATACGACGGTTTGGTTGATCGTCGTAATGAGTTGGCTGACCAGGTGAAGTTGCTTGGCATAATGCGTGCTCGAGACGCAAAGCTAATGCAGGACGCGTTCGAGCACGTAAACAAAGAAAGTGAAAAGTTACAACTGGAAAGACAAAAGTTTCAGTTAGAGAAGGAGCAGGCGCAAAAAAGTTTTCAACAAGGCACAGCTGCCTTGAATAAAAAGTATGCGAGTTTTTTGGCTGAGCAAACAGCATTTAATGTTGCTGTTGATAAGTGGAAAGTTGATCGGATTGATAGACGCCATTCAGTAAAAGATGACGATATCTTTGTTCCGCATGTTGAAGTTGATCGGCGCAGCGCAGTAGCACAGGATATGGCTGAACCTGTACGAAAGCTGTATGTTCATAACAGTTTTATAGCTGTTCCAGAAGCTGAGATGATTTCTTAGCGATGGCTCACAAGAAGCTTGAAGATTTTCTGGAAATGCGTGAGCGTGCTCACAATATGCAGGAATGTTTGGGTGAGTCGCGTAGTCCCTCACCAACGATTTCAGAAGTTAGCACAATTGCTTTGGCCAAGATGGAAGCTAAGGTTGCTGAACTTGATCGTCGTTTAAAGGAACAGGAAGCCAAGGGCGGTAGTACTGTTTCCGCACCATTTGATATGGATAAGTTTACTGATGCAATGAAAGGCGCATTCAGGACTGATACGATGTATCCTGAGAAATTTGACGGGAAGACAGATACGAATAAGGTTGAGCAGTTTATCCAGAGTGTGGATAACTGTAAAAACCACAACAGTTGGTCGGACAGTGACGTCATCAGTAAGTGCTTGTCGCGCTGCCTTACTGGTACGGCGCTTACCTGGTACTTGGATAAGTACGATTCTAATAAGAAACTGAAGTGGTCTGAATGGAAGAAGATGATCCGAGAACATTTCTCAGATGAGAAGGATTTGATGGCCGTTCGTGATAAAATTGCTGATCGTCATTTTAGTAATGACTATACACCGAACTCGTATGTTGATTGGTTCACTACGTCGTTCAAGAAGTTAGATTTGAACGAATGTGAACGTGTGTATTATCTGAAGCAGGGATTGAAGAAGAACCGTTTCTTTTGGTTCAAGTATATAGAAGAGAAAAGAGTTGCTGATGTTGAAGAATTTTTGTCAGAATTGAAGCTGCAGTATAAACTGCGTAATAGTAACCCTATTTCTGGTTACTCTGATTCGAAACAGTTCGTTGGCAGGAAGCCAAGTGAGACAGATAGCAGTGCAGTTAAGGCTGCTAGTAATGAGGCGAAGAAGTCCGAAGGAAGTGCAGTTGATAATGGTAAGCAGGTGACCATTAATTACGCGAAGTGGTATTTCCCAGACGGACAACCGATTTGTTTTAAATGCCATGGTGCGCATGTGGGAAAGAAATGCACCAGTACGGAACCTCGTAAGCCCGTGACAGCTGAACCACCGGATCAGGTGACTAAAGCTTACATGATGAAGAAGTCGATGGGAAAGCATCCCGAAAGTAATAGTTTGGGATTGTTTTTAATGCGCAAACCGGAAGTAAATTCTTTTACTGTGCAGTTTAATCGTGCACAAGAGTTTACTGCACGGAAGGAAACTTGCAGTGGGGGCGATGCCGCTCATGTTCAGTTCTGCTCGGTACGCCGTCCGACAGGGCACTCGCTTTGCAGTGGGGGCTCAAGCTCGTGTGGGTTGGCGGCGGAAGCAAAGTGGCAGTGCTTATGTAAAGCGTTTGAAGTTTCTGATCGAGAATCCTGAGGCAGAGATGAGTCGGGATGAAAGAGAGATCGTGAAAGGATTTCATGTTTATCATGGAATTGTGTACCGTAGCAAGGGCGGTAGGTACGGTAGACACCGAGTAGTCGTACCGGAAGCTAGCCGTCAGGACTTGTTACGAAACTGCCATGAAAGTTTTCATGCTGGTAATTTGCATGTTTACTGGTCAGTCCGTAAGTATGTTTTACGGAGTTATTACTGGCCTGGGATGAATGCTGAATTATGGAGGATGGAAACGGAATGCGAGCATTGTGTTGCTTATGACTGAAGTTCTGACTGCTACGTTGTGAGTCCTCTGTTTTATTGCCAGTGGTGTACTGACAGTGTAACTTGCTTCTACTCATAACCGCAGGATTTATCAGCAAAAAGGGGATGCTGATTGTTGAAATATCAGGAAGTTACAAAAACTGGTTGTGTGGGAAACATAAGTACTCATTAATCGAGTACTGTGTTATGTGCCGTAGCCGCCGGTGTGGTAGTTACGTGTTCGAAACGCTGTGCTGCGGTGCAGTGTTTGATTTCTGTAAAAATGATTTTAAAGTCATTTTGATTCTGCAGTTGGAGCAGTAATTACGATTACCGTTTGATTTTGATAACTGGATGTTTATAATCCAGTTGAGATTTGAATCCATCATCCGGGAATTCTTGGATGATACTGATTATGTTTTGTTTAATTTTTATGAAGAACCATGCAATCGTATCGGTTCTTGTGATCTGGTTGTGATTGACCGTGTTTGATCGTTTGACTGCAAGTGCAAACTTGCAGTGGGGGTAATTGCAGTTATTAGTGGAAATGTGGAAATTATGTATCCACTTTTTGGTGCACTGAAGATGCTGATGGATAAACGGTATCCATCCGTTCTGATCTGTGTTTTTTGATTTGCTGCGGCCAGTGTTATCAGAATGGTTGACATTTCTGGTGTGCTTGGCCTGTTCGATTCTGGATCCTCGAGCTCTTCGGAGGGAGAGGATAGATGAAAACCTCACCTGGATACGAAACGTTTGGATGGATGGACGATGAAACTGGACGCGCGTGGTGGAACGAGGAACTTTGGAGGACTTGGACGGAATACCAACTTCATCAACTTGGACCTCCACTGGAACCCCCGTCACACCCCGGAGTCCACGCGCGAATGATGAAACGGATCCCCCAGGATTACGGTACTTTCCTGGATTTCGAGTTTTCTTTGATTTTGTTGTTTGTTTGTTTGCTTTGATTAACGCGGACGTTAATTCTGTAGCAGTGGGGGTAACGCGCTATGCGTAGTTTGCTCGTATTAAGTACGTGGTATGACGTACGTGTTGTCTGTTCCGTTACGTACGACGTGCTGTTCTTATCTAACGCATTTGGATCGCTAATTGCATCCACGATTCTGGTTTAACTAATCAGTCTGAAGTTTCTAACTTCAACTAAATCTGTGAGCTTGTTTCTAGCTGAAAGGTCGTGTGACTCTAGGTTAGAAGGAAGTTCATATCTCGTTCTGTTCTGTTCTGTTTGCTTGTTCGTTCGGTTTGGTGATTAAACATTTGGGAAGTTCCTGAGTGTTTCGGTTTCGGTAACTTTCGTTAGGCACAGCAATCCGCTCGTACCTAGCGGAAGTAGGCAATAGTACCACTTACGGAGTCCAGAGCATATTCCCACTCTACCGATTGCGTAGGTTTGGTCATCTAGTGCGGTTGTCGCGGTGCGACTTCCGCATAGCATGTCAATAGATTGGGTACGTCACCCGCCAGCCACGGGATAACTTCTTTTGGAATAACCAGCTTTTCCAGCATTGCATGTGCACTCGAGTTGTTGCATGTTAACCGTATTACAAGACCGCTATGATAGTCGATCTCCTTGTGCCGCTCTAGCCTGTACAGAAGCAGTAAAGGTCACTATCCTCCGCATCCCTAAGCTACCTGATTAAGCCACGTAACAATCGCTAGGGCTGATGCTCTGAGCACGGTCATTCCTATCTTACTGCATTTCCTATGTTATACCGGGTGGCCGAACAAAATGGACCTCTCCGTGTTCGCTTTGCCTCTCGCAAACTATTTGCCGTACAATAAACTGTTTAGACTCGTTATGAGCTACTAAAAGCAACAAAACGTTTTTCAAAAAAATTGAAAGTTCCTCGCTGGCAATAGCGCCATTTGAAAACGCGTAGAAATTTTTCTTGTTCCAGCTCGCAAAGTGAAAAATTTCGTGCTACTCTTTTTTCGTGAGTGATATTTTAAGTTTTTAAATTGTTTTATTTAGAGACGGACATCCTCTTTCAATAGGCAAAACATTGTTGGCATGGTGCATGCGCTGGATGAACCGTGCACTAAATGAACTAAATGAACCGTTTTGACTTTTCGAAAAAATCGCAGATTTATTACCCTGGTTTTTTAGGTATTTTAGTTACAATTTTTTTGCTCGTGACAGGGTGCACTGAAAAACGCCGGTTTACTGGCAACTGTAGGTGAATGATTGCCCTTTGAAACAGCGGTTTGAACCCGGACTGTTTTCGAAGCGATGGTTTGAAAATTGTTTACAAAGGACCTGCTACCCGGTTTCATGAGGATCAAATGTGGGGCGTGTCACATCGTTCGCTCCCTGGCCAGACAGGGTCACTAGAATGGCGTTATTTTGTACAACGAAAAAACCAAAAACCGGATCCTCTTTCCGGAACAGTAACGTGATTATCAGTAATGCACTTAGTTGAATATCTACAATTTTAATTTAAAAATTGGCAATTTTGAATTTCTGTTTCCAGGACAGCATTTAAGTCTACCCATTTTAGAAAAATAATTCAGAAAAAAAACCAGATATGTTTACAAAAATGGTTTGACATAACTTTTACGTGCTATCGGCATTGCTCTTTTGAATGAAACTGACATCATCTCAATCAAGCACTGTGCAGACCCAGCGCACCGCAGTAAAACAGAGGGCCATTTTGTTCAGCCACCCGGTATGTACACCCCGTTCACGCCAAGTTGGCGGTGTGTCATTTTAATTTTCTCCCCAATCGTGCAGCGTATGTTTTGCCAATCTTTTTAAAGTTTACAGTGTAGTTTTCTTTTGCGCATTTATTGAGCAAAAACGTAATGGATTTGCGATTGCGGTCTCGCGATGAACAGCTTCCGAAGCGGAAGCACCGATGGACCAAGTCACTGAAGTGCAAAAAACAATTTAATTCAGCCAGAAATGCAGAAACGGCTTTGGGCGCTTTGAATTGAGGTCAGTTTGAGGACCCAAAGAGAGTGCTTTATGAACAGAAACTGAAAGGCAACGGCTAGACCAAACCTGCAAACCGCCGAGGAGAGCAAAATCGTTTTTTAGCAAAAACAAAGCGCTCGTTGAAAAAAGGTATGGTGTTGATGTTGAGTACCACCATCGAGTAGTGAAGTTGCTTGCGGATTGCGGTCTTATTTGACTTTTTGGTCATTTCTAGTATCCTGGGCGCTAGTATTGCATTACGTACTCATTTTACGATGGCTACGTTTGCCCGGTTCTTTCTCTAGATACATACATACCTAGGTGTCCTGGTAGTGCGCTCGTGCAGTGCGGTGCTAGAAATGTGCTTAAAAAATCCATGTACACACGTTGTAGTACATCGTACTAGTATAATACAGTATTTAATTCGCGTGAAAGCTAAATTTTAGTATTTATAATAGATAGTTCCAATATAATAATTACAAGAAACAGCCTCGGCTTCGCCTCCGCGTTTCTTGTGGTCCACGGACCAGGGCCACTTTATTCAATTTTGAATGAATATTTATTGGTATACATCTACATTTCGTCGAAAAATGATCGATAGGTACATCACAATAGGGCAAAAGCTCGGATTTTATATAAGAATAACTTCATGATTCTCTCCAGGTCGGAAGCATTCCCTTTGGCTGTACAGAAAATTTTTGTTATATCCTCTACCCGAAAAGAAACCCGAAATCTCACTGTCTATAAGGTACTAAATCTGAAATAGTGCAAGTGCACTGGACACTATCACTACTCTAGTTCGGTAACTCGGTCACTTCGCAGTTACAGTTCCGGTAGCTCGGTCATTTGTTGACCTAACGGGCTCTGTGAACTGGACTCTAGTGATAGCTCGGTCACCTTCTCACCTAACGGGTTCTGTGCACTGGGTAGTACCTATCGGGATAGTTGACCTAACGGGTTTTGGGAACTGGACAGTAGTCTCAGCTCGGTCACCCGCTCACCTAACGGGCTCTGTGAACTGGACGGTAGTGTCAGCTCGGTCATTCGTTCAGTTGACAGATTCTGTGCTCTGGGCAGTACCGGTAGCTTCAGAAGCAGCTTCTGCTTTGCCTCTGCTTTTCTTTTGGTCCACTGCCAGTCTATTTCAATAATTTCCATAGGTTTATTTTTAAAATCTTATTTCGCCAAACAGCAGGAAAACGCAAATTAGGTATTAAATTCGGTTTATCGTTTTTGAGTCTGGAAGACATTCATTCTGGTTTTTAGATCTACGAATAATTTATTTTGAATCCGCGAAACGAACTTACCCCTGTCTTCCACGCACTAATCTACAAACTCCCAGAACATTTGCACTGGACATAGTTCAGTCACTCACTGACAATTCGGTTACTCCCTAACCTAGCGGGCTCTGGTAACCGGACATCCGTTGACGTGGTAGTTCGGTCGCTCGTTCACCAAAGGGTCTTGTTAACCGTGGTTCGGTCTTGTTAACCGTGTTAACCGGGTCTTGTTAACCGCCCTTTGCACCGGACAGTAGTGGTAGCTCGTTCACTCGTTCCGTAATGGGCTTTGTGCACTGGACGGTAGTGACAGCTCGTTTACTCGTTCCCTAACGGGCTTGCACACTGGATAGTAGTGACCGCTCGGTCACCCGTTCACCTAACGAGCTCTGTGCCCTGGACAGTAGTGACAGCTCAGTTAATCGCTCGCTTCACGAGTTCTTTGCACGGGACAGTAGTGACCGCTCGGTCACCCGCACACCTACCGAACTATAGTGGTCACTTACTGGCTTAGCGGGCTATGTCAACTAGACTATAGTGGTATTGCGGTCACTCGCTGAACTAACAGGTGTGTCACCGTGTGTGCACCGAACAGTGGCGGTAGTTCGATCACTGATTGAACAGATAGTCATGGTCGTGACTAGTGATAGTGTAGCGATAGCTGCTCGGCCGGCACTCGTGCAGAAATTGTCCTTGATGACAACGTTACATACAGATACGTAGTTGTTATTGCCGTAATAATGGTCTGGTAATTAAATTCATTGGATACATAATTTAATCAGTAGAGCAGACTTTCATTTTTTATCTACATTTTAGTTGGTTTACGTGGCAACATTGCCTGGTTAAAAAGACCACGATGATAATTATTATTATATAATAATTTAGTTGCATATGGTGAAGGTAGTCAAAACTCTTCCGCTTTGGCGTTCGAAGCGGGAGAGGTTTAAAAAGAAACGAATACTATCTGGCCGGGTTTTCGACTACGGGCTTTCAGAATATAATACTGGTTTGGGTCAGTCTTTTCTGGTTTACCGGCTCTGGTGTATCCCATTCGTGGCAATATAGATCTGAATCTTGATAATTGTAGGGTGTGTATAAGTATGCATTATGCTGTTTCGAAAGCGAGTGCAGCATAAGATAAATACACCGAATAATACTTTCATACCATGTACTTTCTCAATTTTCAAGATCTAGCTGTTTTGTTTATTAATTTGCAACAGGAAGGTATTTCAAGTTTCAGGCGATCGAATTAGCAGGAAAAACAGATGCGTTTCACACTGTCTTAGTACTTACATCGAAGAGTAGTACAGTAATCAGTCACACTGCTGTGCCAGGTACGCAGGTAATCTATAATTCTATACTATGGTTTATGAAACAATACACGCCCTGTGGACGTTGGCTGCCGTAGACTGGTTGTAATGCAAAGTCATTCTGAGGCGTTAACGTCGTCAACTGCAGTTCGGTCTACCGTGGGAACAAACTATCGAAATGTCCTGATTCGTCTAATTCTTCGTTGTTTCCATCGCTTCGCTGAGTACGGTTAACAGAATTTCGCTGTCGCGTGCTCGAGTCGGCGAACGGGTCCAGGTCATGAACTCCCTCCCTGGCAAAGACCGCCACATCGTTTACCGGGAAATCACTGTCCGTTCCTTGTCCAGCCCGAATGACCTCTTCATACAGGTAGATATTTAATCTTCTGCCTCGTCCTCCGTTTTCGCGTCGCACATTGCGACAGAATCCCGTAATCTGCTGCAGCTGCTGCCGAGCACGGCGAACGATGACGATAAGGTCAAACGCGGCGTTGAAGGAGCTGACCCTGTCAATGAGCCCTCTGTCGCCAGTGCTTAAATACACTGTGATCTTCTCGCCTTTTCGCATCGAGTTCATGAGCGCTTGAACCAGCCGAACAATTTCATCATCACACACATCTCTTGCGCTGGACGGCGGGAGGTCAATAAGCTGTACCTGTAAAAAAAAGGTTTGTTTTTCTTTTACAGTACTGTGTCCTAACCCTGAACTTGAAGGAAATTTGTACAGTGCAGCCACATGCACTTGTACGACCGCATTCACCATTCACATACACGGCTTGCAGCTAGTGCATGTTAGAACGTGAATCGGCTGAACGTTTATCCGGCTATACGGCACCGCGCCGCTCATAGCGTACAAATTTCCTTCAAGTGCAGGGTTAGTGTACAGTACGCATTCTTTACAATATCCTTTGGTGTTTTTTGCGTTATAAAACGCAAAATATATATATATTGTTCTAACTGTATATATACAGTTAGTTTTCCGTGGCGAAATGTCGCGGTGCCCACAGGTAATCTATAATTCTATACTACGGTTTATGAAACAATACACGTGTCCTAACTGTATATATAGTATACAGTTATAACAATATGAAGCAAAATGCAGGTGTTCAAGTAAAGACGGTGCGTGTGAGGCTCCGGCGTGCTATGCATGCGGCGCATAAGCCGTTTTCTAAGCAAAGATCGAAAAGCCAGTTTTTCCTGTGGCCTTAATTTGCCATTAAAATTCTGGTTGAATGGCTTATTAGTCTTAGTATCGAATGGAAGAATACTAGTATTTAAACTGCATACTGACCCCATTAGCAACAAGCTGATCTTTGCAGAACTGTGGTGTTGTTTCTCGTAAACCATTTGCCATACGAGCCACAATAACAAACGTCTTGATGACATTGTCGGTCTGGAGATTTTCATCCTGAAAGTGGTTGGTGTGCGTCAGTTTCTGCAGGCCACGTACCGCATCACGGGCGTCTGCCACCGCGCTGGCCTTGCGGATGGGGATGTTCTCGATGTCCCAAAAGATTCCCGCATACGCGGTTCCCGGCATTTGTGCTGACATCCTTCTGGTTTGGGAGTCGATGTCCTCTGCGCTGTTACTAGTAGCCGGCAGATGCTCAAATTCCGGTATCGGAATACGGTGTCGTTGTGTGGGTAATATTACAGTACATCGTCGCTAACAGGTGGTGGATGGCCTGGCTCGACGTCCATATTGCCATCGATGTCCTTAGCTCCGTGGTTCTATGATGGCTCTGCGCTAACTTAAGAGCTGCCGGCGCCATGTTGACCTTTCAGTAATTTGGTAGTGGTCACTAAAGACTGCTTAGAAACTATATAGCTGCCGGTTAACCTTGAGAGCGAATACTGCATTGGCACACAAATTGTCTTGCACCTTACGTTTGCTTGAATATGCGCATTTTTCTTTTCCTTGTATCGATTGGTATGTCCTCTATTTACTTTACGAGATAATTATATATGTGAAACGTTTTGAATGAAAATTAAGGTAAGCACATATTAGTTCCAAAATATGAGATAATTAATTTTATTTTACTAAGTACAGCATGTAATTTAGTAAGTATTGTAGAAGACTTAGTGAAGAATTAGAATTGGTGAAGAATTTTGTGAAGAATTAGTTAAGAATTAGTGAAGAATTTTGTTGACAGAGTACAGTGACGTACAGGTGCGTCCATAATTATTATACTTAATATTAATTTGCTGTTGTACATTAAACACTGTCACGTACGTCGAAGCATTGTAGTACGTGACTATATCATTACGCAATTTAGCAAGCAGTATTGTTGTCAAAGGAACAGTTTCTCCCAGGAAACTGGAAGAACAGCATAGGAATTTCCCCACTTTTCTACATCAGTACACGACTTAATACTTAACTGCTTCTGTATCGGATAGAAAAAATTCAGTAATAATAAATTTATCTTTTTATCCCAACCATGATGTATTACTTACCCTAATTCCCCCATGACGAATGTCGGCCCCTGTACTGTTTTGCCGACATCCGTCAGCCGCCCGTGTTATCTCCTAAGTTGACATATTTCTGATTATTCCACGGTTTAAAAAATGGCCGCCACTTCCCGCAGTAAATCCCGCCCACCGCGCCAGCACGCCGCCAACAACCCGGCCATCCGTATGTTGATGCAGGAATTTCAGCAGCTGCAAAAGGAGCCCAACGAGGGCTTCCAGGTGAAATTGTTGAAAGAAGACAATCTGTTCGAATGGGATGTAGCTATTTTTGGACCCCCGGAAACCGTGTACGCAGGAGGCTATTTCCGGGCGGTGATTAAATTCCCTCCGGAATATCCCTTCTCACCGCCCTCCGTGCGATTCGTTAATAAAATCTGGCAGTAAGTTTGTGGAAATTTCATTTTTTCTGCAAGAATCAATCATTTTCAGAGCAGTTTTTGCCGTATTTATAATTACTTCAGTTCCCTTTTCCGTCAAAAATCTGAATAATTTTCCAAAAGCAACCGAAGACTATGAAAACAAATCAAAACATATATTCAGTAAAATTTTAATACAGAATATGCAATTCTACATGCAATAATACAAATTAATAAATACGATCCAAAATATTTCCAGAATGTGCAAATGCTCTTAAATTTACATACGCAACCTTAGTTGAAAAGATTTATTACATTATTATTTTCGAAATGCTTTATACTTTAATGACCTTTTGGCTTGTGGCAAAATTAAAAAAACATTATGAAAAATTTCAAACAAAATTAATTACGCGCTGACTGTTTGCTGCGGGGCGAGCGAAGCATCACATTAAAATTTGTTTTCAAAGTCATAATTTTTGTGGCATCAGTAATAAATCGGCATTAACATGGAACATGGTGGTTTCTTTGGATTACTGGTTGCAGTCCGAATGTGTACGACAACGGCACCGTGTGCATCAGCATCCTGCATCCGGCCACCAACGACACCCGCTCCGGTGAACTGCCCTGTGAACGGTGGAATCCCACACAGAACGCCCATTCCGTCATCATGAGCATCATCTCCCTTCTCAACGAGCCCAACACCAACAGCCCCGCCAACGTCGACGCCTCGGTCATGTATCGGTAAATATATCTGTAAATGATCAGCTAATCAGCAGTACATACTTCATTACAGATAAATAATTTCTAACGATAAGTTGTATCGGTGTTCACCATTCGCCAATTCGGTATACATAACGAAATAAATTCTAATAATTAATTTTAGCAGCAATTTTAGCTGGGTGATTTTGCAGATACCCTGGTCTTTCACTCGGATTAAGAAATTTTTTCAAGTCTGTACTGCACTTCTTGTAATCGCTTTTTTCGCAGCACTTGCACGCTTGGCAAAATACGTAAATACTATACGTTGTGCAACAGCCATAGAAAACAGTCCAAGGCAACACTGATGTTAAGTACACTAATAATGGTTCAAGAACGTACCGTATAATAACTTATTTATAATACTGATAAATATTGTAGTACAATGGCACGTATTACAGATCGGGCAAACTATTCATGCATATAAAAATTTCTGAAAAATTTATCTAAACACTACTTTTTAAAACTATGACACATTCTTATTTTTTTGTAATGCTTTTTTATTTTTTATTGTAAAGCACTTTCTTTTGTTTTCTTTCATTTATTTAGCCTCTTAATATGATTTAATACGTTCAAGTGAACCAACTGGTATACGCGACCTTAATTACCGCGTCATAAGTATGTGCGTTTCAGCTTTATCAGCATTCTTAATTATCATTAACCTAAAACTTCATTAATTTTTTTGCTAATAATAGTCTGTGGAAGTATATGGCTATGGTAAAAAATCTAAAAATATAAGCAGTGAGCTCTACTGAGTTTGGGGAAAAAAGAAGTGATTCGAAGACCAAAGTATTCACAAACGAGTACGATGATATACGACTATACAGATACGAGATACAAGTATGGCTGCTTAGCGTTTTTCGGCTAATTCCAGCCCGGGAGAGTCAGCAGCCCATACACTACACATCTCTCGGGCTAAAGTGTGATCTAACGCTTTTATATTGTTACATCATTGCTGTCCTGCGCTTGATTGTTTCCTTAGGAGAAGAAACGCTGGAATATTCTTTAGTATATGAATAACACGAAGAACATGTTTTTGGATATTAATTATAACAATCTTATATAAACTTTATTTTCTTACTATATAATACTTTGTAGCACATACACTTTGTATTTCAGTTGCAGAATAAGTACTTTATCATCTTGCGTATAGGTATGTGTGTGTAGTGTGTTCAGTGTTTGTGTGATAGGCGCTGGCGGGAGCAAGGCGACAAAGAGTACGAGCGCATCGTCCGCGAGCAGGTGGAAGCGTCCAAAGCCGAGGCGGATAAAGACGGCGTCCGTGTACCCACCACCGTGCACGAGTACTGTGTCAAACAGCCCGCCGCCGCCCCACCCGGTGGCGTTCCCTCGGGATCATCCAAACGCGGGGACTTCCACTTTCCCTCCAGTGACCTCACCGAGGACATGGAGTACGAGGAGAACGAGGATGTGACCATGCACGACGCCACACGCAATCACAACTAATTTTATTCGAATTTTGTCCGACACTTTTAAATTGTATAACAATATATAAAGGTCATGTCTGAGAAAAGCATCAAGTTATTAGCTGTGATGTGTAGTATTCTGAACAGAGAGAAATGTAGTGTTGGAATGATGATGTCGGAAGCGGCGTTTGGCCTGCGAGCGTTCCCGTTCGTGGTTTTGTCCGTAGATGAGCGGTTTGCGCACCACACTGTCCGGTTTGCAGATGTACTCTTCCACGGTCGTCTCGCACTGGCTGCATTTCACTTCGCAGCACCTAGAAAAATTAGCGAAAATGCCGGCTGAAAAGTTTTGCGATAAAATGAATGTGTGCGGAAAAAGTTGCTTTCCGGCTAATTAAAAAAAATCAAATGTAAGAGAATGAAAATAAATTTACCTAAGCTGAAAAAATTTTTAAAGAAAAAACGGCATTTTACATCACTGATCACACGTAATAGAATGCATACATATTGATTATTTCAAATTTATTTACTGATTGTTAATAATAATATTGTTATTATTTCTTGTTTAATATTTAAAACTACTCGTAATTTTTATTCACATGAATTATCTCAGATGAAGCAGTAAATAATGTTTTCGTTCCTGATTTCCGTCATTGTCCAGAATGTTGACTTTTTGAGTACTCCAGATTTCATTAATAGGAAATATTGTTGTTATAATTAACAAGGATTCTCACCACTGAAATTTGCACTGGCATTTCTTGATGTGCGTTATCGTCCGCCGGTCGTACCCGCGTCCACAGCACATAATCTCGCAGCTGTCCGGCGCGGTACTGTTTAAGCTACACACCCGCCCACCAGTGCCAACGGAGCCTGCATTCGACGAACGACAAACAAAGTTATAATCAATATCCCATGAAAGAATATTAAGTTCTACCAGATCGCCCATAAAATAAAAGTTCACCAGGGTTTTACCTTGCCAGTGGTTGGTGGAACAATAATCCGGGGATTTTTCATAAAAAACCAAGTCGGTCTTCTTCAGCGGACGATCCAAGGGGTTGGAGTAAATGGTCTTCCAGTTCTCTTCGGTATCATTTAAAGTTACCTAAAATTTAACAAATATCTCAATCGATTTTCACGCGTAATTGGTAAACCGGTAAAAATCAATTACGTAATAGTTATGTAACAAAAAAAAACGACTGTAGTAGGCAATTTGACTTTAACATAGGCTTATAACGCGTGTGTTAAGAACATTTGGATTAGCCACCATACTACACTAATGCGACAAACATGAATTAACGGCGCACAGCAAATTGTTTAACACCACTATACATGCACAGGTTTAAATTGAAGCAGTTTATCTAGGAAATTACGTGCTCTTCCACATGCAGAAGAGGCATATACTAATACGACAAAAAATTAAAAAAACGACAGAAACTTTCTATTTGTAAATGGCTAATAATGGCTTCACAGAAAATTAAAAATGCTAAAAACTTACAAACTGCCTGATAAGCACATATTAGCACAAAAATTATTACATATTTCTATTAACAGAATGTATTTATTTCATTATTACGATTACCGTTAGCACGAAATAATGGCAAATGAGCGTAAAAGCAAAAAAAAATTAGCAAACATATCTATGTTGTATATATTGAACAAAAAAAAATTTCACATAAAGTGATATAACTGTGTCGAACATGCGCGCAGTATATGCAAAGAAATTACCCGCCCACCAGTGCCAACGTAAGAACGTAAGAACGTCTGCAAATTCTAGCATTTGTGTTCTTATACGAATTACTTTGCTATTATTATTAATTAAAATAGGTAAATTATAATCACGCCTTTGCATCTGTGGGTATTTTCAAATCTTAAATACTATTAGGAAGTTATTGATATTTTTATTTGTAAATGGCTAATAACTGAGCAGACCTTTCTTGCATGGTCGTACTTCCGGCGGAGAATCTGCCCGACTTGTCCAAATCCGGGAATAGCTCGCCAGCACGTCTTCACCGTGCAGGATCCACTGACACCGTGACATTTACATTCCTTAATTAAATTCCCCTGGACCGCCTGTATACACACAGTACACAACATCAGCCACACGCATTCGGCTACATCAGGGCCTCTTTGTCTGGCCCGCTTTCTGAAGAGACAGGGGATTAGGTCACCTTGCGTCCGGCGCGGTTATTGTGCAGATTGATCAAAGCCGGTGCGCGGTCGTCTTTGACGGCGGCGTTGCCGGCACCGCGCTCCCCGGCATCGACGAATTTGCGCGCCATCCGCACGGCGTAGCGGATCATGTGCGCTTCACAGCCGGTCCACTGGAAATCCCGGTCCACGGCGTCCCGCGCCCGCAGGCGGTTGTCGGCTTCGCAGGAGCAGCTGCCCAGTTCGCCGGAGGCGCAGGCCCGCCCGATGGCGAAGACCACGCCGGCCGAGGTGATCGCCTGCACGAAGGCGCCTTCGCGCGTGCCCACTAAAACCGTACATTTATTAATAACTACCTAGCACAAAAAAACGGCAAAGATGCGCAGAAAAGATCCGAAGAACAAATTGGCAGACATATTTGCACATTGAATAAGAATAACAAGTAACATATAACATCACATTCAATTATGTTGAATATATATGTATATATCTATATTATGCGCAGGAATATTTTGTATGCAAGAGCGACTGCGAATATCTAACGCTGAAAAGGCGAACGAGTGCTAAAACAAAAATCAGCGTATTCTTTACTTGCAAAGTATTAATTTCAATACATTATTATATCAAATGTAACCGACTTTGGATTTGCCTTGTTTTTCCGCTGAAATTTAATTGTGCCGTTGTACTACAACATTCATCTAAATTACTCATAATTTTTTACGATGACAGTAAGGCGTTACAATACATACTGTAAGTAATTAACAATAAGTGTACTATTACTCCGCTCTATTAATAAAAAGCTAATTTTATAATCTTATATGCATACTGCATTATACTTAAGACAGCCGTTATTTCAATAAAAAAAATAATAAATTATTTTACAAACTTTACAATTTCATATGGACATAAAAGCTGTAATGGCCATAAAAATGTCATCAGTTTATGTTTAGTTTATGTTATGTTGTTCAGTTTATGGTTAATATATTAATTACCCAGATGAATCATAATGATAATGACATTCCTCGTTAAGAAAACTTCCCCGTCTGTCTCGTAGCTGTTACTCATACACCGACGTAACGCTGCAGTGGGTCATAGTTCATATTCTACTACACACACCGATGATTAGGCCACTTCGTTAAAACGGCAGCTAATTACAATGATCATAAATTACTCCATAACATGCCATATACACTGCATAAGCAGTCAGGTATCCATGCGACTGTCAAGTACGTGTTACTTCATTGACATCCCCGCTGGACAATGGCCAGTGTTGATGGATGACGAAGTAGATTACCGTCAAAACATCGTAAATTCTTTTATGCGACCACTCTGGCACACAGCCGATATCAGGGATAATCGGACAAAAATGCTGCATTAGCTATCTGTACACTGGTGCGTTCAGGGATTTACAGTAATTTGTCGTTATCGAATAGCGAATCTGGGCGATAAGACAGATTTATTTCAATTAGTGTTGACCAAACTGCTTAATTGCTTAACTTGAAAATAAACATCAATCCAACCATTTTGTGAGCGGATAATTGTAGCAATGAAATACGGTAAAATCACAGCGTAGATAACAAATTAAGAATTAAAACTATCACCCAAATAATTTTAATAACAGAAACGTGCAATATAAAAAAGTGAACATTACTAAAAATTACTACTTATATATATATACTTGTAATAGTGTCGCAAAATTTGCTACCTTATGAACGGTGTCTTAATCAAAGGAACTTTGGTGTTCGTCCAATAAAGCCACTGTGCTACGAAACCATCCAAACATTTCTAATAGAAAAAATGTTTTGGCTGACCATAGATTCAAAGTAAACTGAAAACTTTGTTACAGAAGTAAGCGGAGATTTAGGGATATTACACAGAACTGCAATGATTTATTGGTAGATTCAGAGATGAAAAGTAAGGGTAGACTGGATTAGATAAGATTTATTGGTAGATTCAGAGATGAAAAATTCATAAGATTCCGTACAGCGATTATCGAAGATAAATGACAAATCATCGTAAGTCAGAGGAGACTGACCTTTCAAAGTCAGTTTGTCCAAAGTGCCGGTCGGCTGGTGTTTGCCGGCTTGATTATCAATGTGGATGGTGCTGCAGTTCCAGCGTTGGGATTTGAACTGATTCTGGCACTCATCCAGACCCGCCCGAACACCCTCGCCGATGGACCACATGATTTCCGGTTGCTGGGCGCACAGATGTAGCTGGCTGGCTAACAGGCCGGGAATGTGTTCGCAGGCTAATAAACGGTGGGCGGTTGTGGATAATCCAGCCACCGGCAAATGTGATAAAAACCTGCAATTTTCCCGTCTTGTATTCAAAGAAGAGACACACTTTTTTTTTGCAAAATTATTGCTGGTAAATTTGTAAGTTAGTAAAGTTATTTTGCGTAGCGATCGTAACATTAAACTATATGTATTGTTCAAATTACGCCAGTACTTTTTTTTAACCTTTAGGACAATAAAATACGTCAAACTGCAGAGAAATTTGGTATGAAGTCCAGCTTGGTGTAACCATAAATAATAATATACAAATCAAGAATTTAATGCTTTAAAAAATTATCCGGGTACTTTATACGTGGTAAAATTTCTAATTACAGTGTCCTACCAGAACGAATCAGCAAACTCCAAAATATAACACAAGATAAAAACAAAACCAGTTTGAGTTCTGTAAAAATCCATTTGAAAAAAATTGATTAATAATAAAGGATCTGGTGCCGAATAGTGACCGGTCAGGAGTACGTGGTCAAGTTATAAAATTATTGTAGGCAGCAATCAAGGTCAAGCTCAGGCTATCCAAACAGTTAATACAACTCTGCCTGGATGGCAAAAATTATTATAATCCATGAACAAACATATCGCAGAAACACGCGACGAAATGCAGAAGCCAACTGCGCAGCGGAAACAGAGTCAGGACGTCCGTCGTGATGCGAATGAGCAATCACAAACGATATGCACAAACACATACTGCGCTAATTGAATTACGAACTGGTTGGTCACAAATGACCACCTGTTGGGACGTTCATTCCACGGTAATCAAACTGACCATGGGAACAACCAATGGAATTCTCGATTGATCGGATATGTCAGTAAAGACCTGTTTAAACACGCTGTTAAGCTAGCCCGCCTCCTAATTGACCATTGGCCGACGTCACTGGCGGCAGTTGCAATAGTTATATCTTTCCATTGATTTGATGGAAATCGCCAATCAGAGTGGTGAACATGCGGCACCATTCGAAACGCTTTCCCTTTTTCGATAAATATAAGCTCTAAAAGACTGACCGTCGGTGTTTCTCTGATTCATCTGAAAATATTATGCAGTAACCATATTATTTTTACTTTTAAAATATTGTTTGAGGTTTGTGCTGATTTTTGAACTGCAAGTCATTGCGCAAATCGCAGCGGCCTTGGCGGTTGGCATTACTACACAGTACAGTGCACAGCCGGAAACATCGACAGCCACTTCCACTTCCAAATTGGTGGAATTAGTGGAACTGCTGGAAATCCAAGCCTTTTTAACATCTGTGCATTTGTTGTCGTTTCGAAGTCAAAAAGAGCCCCAGAATTTAAGTACTTACTGAAACAGAAGCTCCAGGTTTTGGACAAAAAGAATTACGTTCTATGCACTTTTTTGCTCCGAATACTTTATCTGAAAATTGCTTATCTGATGATGCTCACGGCCGAAGAAGTGAAGTTTTGATTGCGGGAAGCGATAACCGATTTATCGCGATGTGATCATCGCTTACCGCGTGCGCATGTACGTCGATTTTAGGGTATTTGAAGTTTGAACGCATCGCCGTGGATTTCGTGCTATTCTCCTCTCTGTATTGATTCCGCACATCCGACATTTTTCCGCAGGATTTCTGCTGTATGATGGAGGCTCCTCACGGGAAGATGAAGCTGTGGATCCGTTCAGCCTGCCAGGTGGTGCAGATCTGCACCAACGGCGAGAGGTTTCTCAAAGGCACCCACATGCAACAAGTGGCGGTGCTGCAGCAGCGTCAGCTGGCCGATGGCACCACGGACGGCGTTGGCGTTACGGTATCCAGGTAAAACTCTCCAGCAAAATGCCGACTAAAAATAGAAAATAATAAAAGCAGAGTGAGTTATTAGGAGGCAGAGGCCATTATTTCTGCGAGATGTGTTTGGTCTGTATTGGTTGAATCTTCTACTGTAAATAAAAAAATGTAATTGTCGTTTATGAGCTACGCGTTGGTGTATCAGCAGTTAAGCGTATTTTCTACGAGTATGAGTTTGCGGTTTCTCAATTTGTAGCTAAGCGGATTCGAGCAGGCGAGCTGCAGCCAGTGCACTACGATATCTTCTCAAGATGCGAAGTGTTACGCATATATATGTTTCGTAGTGTGCATATATTTGTACATTTACGTATTTAGTATTATCTATCGAATAATTTAATAAATCTAAATAAATTAACTGGAATAATTTTAATAACAGTTTTAATGACCATGACAGTTAATTTTTAAGACATTTTATTTAATGACAAATTAATAATGGCAACGCATGCATTTTTAATGGCAGTTTTATAATCAATATCGAATAATTTGTTAAGGTTATAATGTTATAATATGATTTCCGGAAACTTATGTAAAAATTCCATGCCGTCTTGTTTTAGTTTATTAAATACCCTGATTACGTGAGCGAGTTATTTGTATATCCGTTGTTTTTATATTTGTTATATTTGTCAGCTGTTTGCCAGTAATACAATAAAAAATCACTCGGAAAAAATTAAATTCAAATAACGTTTCGCGATCTTCAGACCAGAACAGTTTGCCGTAAATGGGGTTGCTCAGCAGAGGTGGTAAAGTGCAGACCGATGTCCGAACTTGGCAACTGAAGGGCCAAGCTGGTCAGTCTACCGCTTGTGCAACCGTCCGCGACCAGACCCCCAAAAGCGAAGCCGCGGCCCAAACAATTAAGAGAGACGAACAAGAACGAAATGCAATAGCGGGATTAGAGGAGAACATCACACGAATGAACAGTACATATATAATATATAGAATGAACAGTACGTATATACTTTGGCAAAGAACTTGAACAATTTGCAGAAAATGAACGGACAGAGAAGCCTAGTGGTTTCTAAACGGTTTTGGAGAAATCGCATAGAGAAAGTATCTTGAATAGAACTGATATGGAGAGGCACGTCGTAGGCATTGGATGGCTGTCCGGTGGTGTCGGTGCATGGTGTGGAAGTTAAAAATAGTTCGGTGGTGGGAAAAGGCAGCGGAGGTATATCGGTATACTTCATTACGTAACTGTAACAAAAGTTCTGAACATGGGACAGAAAATTGAGAAAAAGAAAACCCATTGTGAATTATGGATTATATTGTGGCTTTATCAGTATAGCGAATTGCGTATACACGTGCGAAGTTCATATTATTAGATGTTCATGTTCTTTATTGTTAATAAACATATAGTTCTAATCGACAAATCCAAAGTTCTCAACACCTACCCTACGATAAATGTAGAGTAGAGATAGTGAGATTACAAGTATGAATGAAAGAAAAGAAAATGGTTAAAGAATAAGTAATGCATGGAAAAACATTTTTATAGATTACTGTGAGTAACTTGACTTACTTGAGGATATTATACAAGAAATGATAGTATTGCAAATCAGGTATGATGCAAGTTTGAAGTACATGGACAACATTAATTCAGAAGTATAAACTATAAAATATTAAAATTATCTCTTTACGTGTATAATTAGCTTGCCATATGAACCTAATTTCGTCAAAATGGACAAAACCGTTCATAAACAATAAATTAATAGTGCCATGAAAAGAAGTAAGAAGGGTTTAGTAAATGCACCGAAGAGCAGAAATAAATTTAGTGCATACAGTATAGTACAGACAATATAGTACATACAATTTTGTTTTATTTTTTAGTAAAAAATAACTGTACTGTTGTGCTATAGTACTGTTGCATACTGTTGTACTTTTGCAGAGTACGTATTATAAATTCGATAAATTCCTTATGCTGGCTCGCCTTTAAATTTGATAAAGTGGAATTCCACTACCAATAAATTCGACTGACGATAGACTGTTCGGTTCAATAAAATTGTATTCTTTAACGAATATTTCAAATCCCGCTCAAAAGATCGAAACCATTATATCTAAATATGGTCGGACTCGTATCGTATATGTAAGAGAGATTTAGGTTCATAACTGCCATTAAAAGTTTCCGAGAAGTACTGGGAGAAACGAAAAACCAAAAACATGCGTTGTATGAAAGTAATAGATAGGATAGTGAATCAAAAGAAATATTTGATTGGCAAAAGAAACAATTTGTTCAGACTGATTGGACGGAGTTTATGCGGTAACGCTACAAAAATGTGTTATGTACTCTGTAGAAGGCCGGAAGCCATTCATAGTTAGTTTCTCGTGCTGCATATTTATTCAGTAACTGCTCTACAGTATATAAATATCGTTTGTCTTGTGTAAAAAATATGACACATAAAATTTGACTCACGTCCGCTATACTTCTACTCAAAATTCCTGATCAAGTTGATTTGATTTTTGTGGTATTCTTCGGAATACTTTTAGAAAATTTCGGTTGTAGTTTAGACTTCTGTAAACTTAGGAATTGTCTCAGGAGTCGGATGAAAAATTCACTAAAATCTTGGTTCAGTTACAGACTTAGACTATTGTAGATAGCGCAAAAAGGATGCATGCAATGATACTATGCTGACTAGACACGAAAAAGTGTGTACGGTATAGTTCAAAAGCTTGTTACCATGCATGCCGTCGAGTTTACACGGGCTTCTACTGTCAATACCAAAACACGGTATTTCAAAAATTAAAATATAATGCATGTATTACAAATAGTTATTAGGCACAGGAGCGCACTGGTATGATTCGTGGCACAGTAGCAGTTGTGATTATTAAGATGAAGAAAAGTATCGTGCTTATGAACAAAGGGATGATGACCAATAGGAGCAAAGCATTACAATTATGAGAGGCGATAGGAGTATGAATTCTGACTCAGGATTAGGAGTATGAATAGGAGGAGCATTATGCGTATTAGGTACACGATATGCATGAAAAATAGCAACGGTATGCATAGAATTATTATAGCCTGCGAAGCACTTCTATATTCTTATATTTACAGAGTACGTTAAAACTGACACTGCCAAATTACGAAATCAGTAGGAGTGGTGTGAAGTTCATTTAGGTTTCTTAATTTACGAAATAGGATACGGAAACGATAGTGACCCGAAATCAAGATAAAACTGCAGCTAAAGTTGCGGGAAAAGCGGGCACTTTTTTGCTATAAAGTTTAAAGCATAAATCTAGTTTAAGGCGTAAGCGGCGAACAGAGCATAATGCAACAAAGCACAAGTTGCGGGGGAAAAAGAAATAACGGGCACGTTTGAAACGGAGCTGATAATGTTGGAGAACAAATACCGTAGTTTGCACGTAATTTACAGCAGAACGTACGAAGTACCTGTACCTTCTAATTATACCACTACTGTACTGCAGTTTACCGAGAAAACGCGTAATCAAGCGGGCGAGCGAAGCGAGCCCGCGTTTCTAATTCAAGACATTTTGAGGGTTCGATGTAACGGAAGTGACAGTGACCTTTGGGTCGCCGAGTGACCTTTGGGTCGCCACCGGTTTTCATTGCGATTCCTATAGAGTTTGACATGCTGAGTCGAACTGAAGTACTCGGGGACCTCGAACTGGGTCCCCGAGGTCGCCACAACGATATGTACTGTATTTGTACAGTTTGACGTGCTGAGTCGAACTGAAGTACTCGGGGACCTCGAACTGGGTCCCCGAGGTCGCCACAACGATATGTACTGTATTTGTACAGTTTGACGTGCTGAGTCGAACTGAAGTACTCGGGGACCTCGAACTGGGTCCCCGAGGTCGCCACAACGATATGTACTATATTTGAACAGTTTGACGTGCTGAGTCGAACTGAAGTACTTGGAGACCTCGAACCCGGGTCCCCGAGGTCGCCACAACGATATGTACTGTATTCGAACAGTTTGACGTGCTGAATCGAACTGAAGTACTTGGAGACCTTTGCCAGTAATATTTGCCAGTAATACAATAAAAAATCACTCGGAAAAAATTAAATTCAAATAACACAAAGTTAATCTGCAAGAAAAATACTCTTTTCTTTAGGCTTGTGGTGCTTGGTTAGGGCAAAAAGACACTTTTTTGTAGTGATGGATTGATCGCCGCTGTGGATTACGATTCTGTGATCGGAACAAATTACCCGCCGAGTTGTTTCGACAGCATCGTGGATGCCAGCGGACAGTGCATTCTGCCGGGACTGATCGATGCGCACACGCATCCGGTGTGGGCCGGCGATCGCGTCCACGAGTTTTCTATGAAGGTAACACGACAGAATAATTTTTCTTTGCCAGTGCATGCCACTACATCGGGTTCCTTATTTTAAAAAAAATTCTTATTCGTTTTTTTCATGTCTTTTATTGGATGCTTTTCCCTGGTATTTTAGTGAAACTGTTTTTTCCCTTTTTTTCGGAAAATGATGTACAACCGATGAACTCTTTTCTTATATGTACACTATAAAATACACTAAAAGAATTATTATTTTATTATTATTTCTCCTTTTTCTGGCGTATTACTTTTAAATTTGCGATATGTTTTGTTTTTTTACCGTTTATGCTTACGCTTTATTCTGCCAGTACGAGCGTAAGTCGTAAGTTAGTATTGTTTGTATTACTGCCTCCTCTATTTACTTTTTTATTCACCGTATACCAACAAAGCTGTGGCCTTTATTGCGATTACTTACTTTGAATGCAAAAAATGTATTCGAAAAGGTATCGGAAAATAACTTGTAATTTTGCCTTAATCACTTAAAATGCTTTATTTATACTTCTGAGTTCTGACGCCTTTTTGGCTTATTCGCCCGCTTAGAGCCATCCCACTACAACGCTTATTCTTTCGCTCGCAACAAATGAACAATCATGATGTTCAGGTGAATTTTGATATGATAAAATTATAGATTAAAAAAATAAAGATTTGTAATTTTGTTCCGGAATTATCTGCCGCTTATTTTTATTTCGCAGTCAGATTTAGTAACGTCTGAAAACAGTTTTATTATCGGGCTTGCTGATAAATATACAGATTAAAGTCTCTATTTATTAAATATTATTATAACCAGTGAATAACCGAATACAGTGACTGCGATTTGCGAACCTTGGGAATTCGTTTTGGTGATTGAGGGGTGTTCAACGCTGCCTAACAGCTTGCAGGAGCATCATACATGGACATTCACAAAGCCGGTGGAGGCATTTATTTCACCGTCGACCACACCAACGCGGCCACCGAGGAGGAGCTGTACGCGTCCTTAAAGGAGCGATTGCTGCTTATGCTGCAGACTGGCACCACTTCGGTGAGTGATAATCATTTTCAAACCGGTGCTTCTCATTTTCCGTTTTAAATTTTTGCATTTCCACGCTGAAAATGTGTTGTCTGTAGGGCGAGAAATTAGTCGTGATTTTTTTTGCAGCATAATCCCATTTGCCACACCACAATAATTACAATTATTTTGTCATATTGCGAATATGCGATTTGTTTTACCGGTGAAAACGATTGCTGAAAAAGAATTTGTGCCAACCCCCAAAACAGAGTTTGCGGCGCAGATTTTCAAAAATGTCTCAAATTAAAAAAGAAAATTTTGATTTTGCTTCGCATCTAAACTACGTACTGTTATATCGAATGGTTTGCCAAGCGGATTCAGCAAGTACCTTTTTACCCATCACTTTAGCCCTTACTCTACGATTGTCACCTGTTAAAGCAGTGGTACCGTGCATGCCAGATTCAGTGGATATTCAGTAATCCGCAATTTAAATTTAAATTTTAACTGCCAGCGCTTGCAATTATTATTATTCGGGTGGCCGTTGCCCAGTAAATCTAAGTAAACTGCAATTTTTTATTACTGTATTCTAATCTGTAAGACGTCGACCATTTATACGCATCCGGAACCGCGCAGACCCATTTGAATATTATTACAAGATTTTCCAGATGAACATTCTGAATATATTTCAAAATAATTTATTTAACATTTTTCACCTGTGAAGAACTGGAAAAACTTGTGAGTTGACTTTTAGTCCTTCGTTCGCGCTATCCTTAGCTTAAATGTTGTACGGGAAGCCGGTGCAGTTTTTGATGGTGTAACTGTTTAAGTAAAGTTTTTATAGAGAAACATAAAATAAACGAATAAATAAATTTTGTGGGGCGATGTAATAAATAATGTGAACGCTTGCAGACGGAAGTGAAGAGTGGCTACGGATTGGATTTCGCCAACGAAGTCAAACTGCTGCGCGTATTGCATCGTGTCAAAGCGGAAATCCCCATGACCTTATCCATCACATACTGTGGCGCTCATGCTGTCCCAAAGTGCGTTCCGTAATTTACAAAGCAATCCATGGAGCTAAACATTAACAGCCGAAAAATTCAAATTTTATGAATTAAACTGGAATTTATTATTTGAATTACTTATTACGTTTAAATTGGATTATTTTGAATGTTTGTAGAGGAAGTACGTCGGATGCCGCCACCGAGGACATTGTAAATCACGATCTGCCCGAGTTGCGACGGATGGTCGACCAGGGCGAGGTGTCCATTGACAATGTGGATATTTTCTGTGAGAAAAACGTCTTCTCCGTGGAACAGACCCGGCGTATTTTGGAGAAGGCGCGCTCCCTGGATTTTCACGGGAATTTTCATGCGGAAGAGCTGTCGTATTTGGGCGGCACCGAGGTAATGCAGCTCGTCGTTGGCCAGTTTTCTTTTTGTACAAAAATCTTCAGAAGCGGTCTCGAAGTTGCGTGTAACGGCCGAATCATTCTGTACTTCTACTATAACTTAAAACAATTTTTATAATGATTTGTTCGTAATTTTGTGTCGAAGTTATTACTTTGATATTTTCGTGATTAATTAATCAGTCAAATGCATAGCGTCACTGGCGCAACGGGCCGTCACTGCAACCAAGATAATTTGTACTATTCGTAATTGATCTATTTTTTATTTGATGATTTATGTTTTATTTATTAATTTATTTTTATTTGATTTGATTTTTCCTTTGCGCCCTTTCAGATATATGAGCTCACGATAAAAAGTTTTACAAAATTTACAGTTTAGTTTCGTTTAATTTTCAGTTTAATTTCGTTTCTTCTACTGTATTATGTGAAAAAATATACGCTATGATTTTATTTTTTTTGCGCTTTATACGTGCTATTCGTGCATCTGTTGGCTGTCAATATGTCAATCAGACAAGAACTGGTTTGTGCCAATGTACTACGCTAGCGATACGTTCTACTGTTTTGACTGATACCGGCCTAATAGTGCGATACGGTACTGGTCAAAACCAAGAATATTTTCTAGCTTTTACAATTACAACCAACCAAAAACCGGTTTTAAGAAAACAAATTAATTAGAAGGTGAGGCTGTTTGTCAAACTCCATAAAAAAACAAAATTAATTACTCATTAATAGTACCAACGGTGCCACACTGCCCTCCTTTACGGTCGGCGGGGCTTAATAATTCGACTGACGTTTTCCTTATTTGCGTAGATGGGCGTGGCAGTGGGTGCGCGGGCCATTTCCCATCTGGAGCACATTAGTGAAACCGCCATGCAACGCATGGCCGACGCCAACTGCGTGGCCGTTCTGCTGCCCACCACCGCCTTCCTCATGCGATTGATTCCACCGCCCGTCCGCGCCATGATCGACGCCGGCGTCCCTGTTGCCCTTGGGACGGATTTCAATCCCAACGCCTACTGCACATCCATGGTAGGTTTCGTTTCACCGCGGATTAGAGGATTCCAGTCTCAACTGTTTGGTTTACACTTTTGCGAAAGCCTTTAGTAGACTGCGCATTTTTTTAGTTATCAAAACAGCCTTGTATCTTTATTTTTGAATTTCAACATTTATCTCAATATTTCAACATTATATTATTCTTTCCACAGTTTTTATTTTTTATATTATGCTCTTATTTTATATTTTATATTATGTTATTTTTTATATTATGCTCCTTTTTTAAATAATTTTTATTTATCAGTTTTTACGATTTTGTAATCTTGAAAATATGGATTTTTCCCTTTTTAATCCAGTTTGTGACGGAGGATTTTCATAATTTTAGCAGCATTTTGTACAAATTTATCCTGATGCTTGTTCGATTTACAGCCGATTGTGATGCACTTGGCGGCCGTGACCTTTCACATGTCCCTCCCGGAAGTGCTCATTGCTTCAACGCTGAATGCTGCCGCCTCGCTGGGATTGTCGCGCTCGCACGGATCCCTGGAGAGAGGAAAATGCGCCGATTTAATGCTGATACGGGCGCCGCGATGGGAGCATCTGGTGTACCAATTGGGCAGTGCCAGTCTCATTCGCGCTGTTATCAAAAATGGCAGTATTGTGCACGGATGTTAATTACTCATTTTATCCTGTATGATTTACGACATTCCACCGAATTGAGTGAATGAGGTAATTGAAGTTTTAAGCTGTGAGTCTATGTATAAACAAAATATTGATCCTCTTTCTGTTGCTTCCCATGACCTTTCGATAGTGTGTAGTAAATCCAAAATCGGATAGTAAATGCCGTAAAAATGCGCAGTAATGCGCATGGTTGGAGTGTAACCTAAGAAAATGTGAAAGAAGACCTAAGAAAAAATGAGAAAACAGCGATGGGCCTTACACTCGAAAACACACGAAAGACTGAAAGAGGAACACACATTTTTATCAGTGATTATATTCAACTAGAAGTATTCGAATTTACGAAGTGGCGCGCAAAAATACTTACAAAGGATAAATAGCAACGGCAGTCTGTTTCCCTCGAACGAAAATGTAGCAGACGTTTGTTTTATTATTCCTGTGAAACGAATTGACTGGTGTTTCAGCAGTAAACGTAGTACTGTGGCATCTGGGCTGATAGACAGGAATCGGTAGCACTTCGCTGACAATCTCAAAACTGATTTGGTGATTGGTACCGATAGGCAATATACGCAAATAAAGGCATCAAGTGTAGCGATTTTATTTTTTTGGGTGAGACTATAGGCACCCTTTCACCCTCGTTTGCTATAGGCACCCCCTTTTGCACCCTGTTTTACTATCGGCACCCCTTTTCTATTACATAAATCTCGCTTTCCTTTTTTCCGCGGACTCCTTTTTTCCGCACCTGAATCCTGTTTTCAGTTTTTTCCCAGAAGCCTGACAAAGATTTTCTAACAGGTTTTTCGGTTTACAAAGATTTTTTTGACGATCTGACTTGACCAGCTCATTGATATAAAAATGTGTACAGACACTCCATTCGACAATGTGCCGGTTTGACTGATTTGAAAATCTTCTTCGATAAATTCTCCTGCAGTCCTGAGGTTTATTATGTTAATGTTTGTGACCTTTTTAGGGTGTCGGACACTACGATGCAAATAAGTGCCCCGGTATCTTTCTTACGGATTTCGTTTAATACATGATTGCCCATCCTCTCTTCGGTTCTTTCACCTCGTTCCACTTTATCGTGCTCGGTTCAAGTGTTGTTTTCGTGTGCGACGGGGTGCAGGAATTAGTTATATTTATATATATTCGAAAAGGGGTGCCTATAGTCTAAGTGGGTGTGAAAGGGGGTGCCTATAGCCATTTCCTATTTTTTTAACGTTTAAATTGGAATCATTTCAAGATACCGAGTAGAGCCAGCAAACGCACCCTATCCTCGCACATAAGTTATCTGCAAGTACTCGTAAATACGGAAGCTTTCATTGGGTTTCCTTAGGGTTGCACAAAGATGCACGCCGAGTGAATTAGCAGTGACCACAGACCAGTTGAATATGTTGCTGTCTGTATTCGTATGATTAAAGATATTTTTGAAGAGAACGGCAATTGTTAGCACACGCAATGAAGAGTAACTATTTCGAAAACTTGATATGCTTAGAGTACAGATGACGATTTCCGGCAGCTGCAGATCAGCAACCAGTGCGTGGTAATCAGTCCTTTACCCTGCAACCCAACAATATTACCCACTTCAGCAACGTATCAGCAGTGTTCGACATGTTGCGATGTGTCCGGCAAGTAAAACGCAAGGCGTACAAAACGCTGATGTTAACTTCCACTTAACCGCGCTCCACCAGGAGGAAGCCGCCGATCCCTTCCCAAAAGTCATGCTGTGAAAATTTCCGGAGGATGCATGCTTGCAAAATTCTAAAAATGACTGCATGCAACCGACGGAATTATTAACTAAAAATAATTCCCATTCACTTGCTATTATTTTTTGGGGAAAAAACGAACCATACAAATACTCGACGTGTGAAATATTTAACAATTTTGTACGCGGTAATAACGTTCTGTACTGAGAGTCGTTCGTCGCATTTACTAAGCCACATTTCTACGATCTACGTAACAACCATCGGAAGACAAAATCAACCAGAATACAAGGAACGACACCGTCCCAATATAACTCGTAAATCATTACAAGCGAATACAGACGGGTTTAAGGCAATATCAACGAAAGGAAAGTATGTAATGGCTCGACATTTTAACGAAGCATCACAGTTTTCTTTATTATTACGAGTCTCCGGCATCGCTGACATTTGTTGCGACATGTAGCTCCGTAACTGCGTACGACACTTTTCGTGATCTAGTGCATTCCCGGCTAGGCTTGGGGTATATTTCGGTACTTACAGTACATTTCGCCAATTGTAATTTCGGAACAAGCTTCCAGTTAAACCGTGAAGGATCCCGGACTAATTGTTTACGGCCGATTAGCTGCCTTCGTGTTATTTAAGATTTAGTGCTCGTATTGCTGAATCTGTGCGGAGAAGTTTTACAAATACGTTAATAAATACGTTAATATGTAGATACCGTAAATCTGCCTTTTTAATGAGTTTTAACTTGGCCGTTTAGATGCAGTATTTAACCGAAAAAGGTTTGTACGTTGCTGTAGGTCGGTAAAGCAGGAATTTTTCCGTCGATTAGTTCTCTTGTTAACCTGCTGGTTGGTGAATGGACGAACAAATTGAATGAAAATTTAACGAATGCCGCTTGATGAGGGCAATCTGCAGCATTTTGTTGGTATAGTCCGGTGAAACGACGGGATAATTTACTACATTGCCGGTGAAGTATACCGCAAGGGATCGTAGAGCAGTATACGGGAGAATGGGCTTGTGAAACTGGATTCGTTCGTTAAGAAATTCCTTCGTGCGCGACTTAATCAGTGTACATCGTTTTACCGGGTTGTACCGACATGGCTTACCGAATTGTGGCATATCGTAGTACGTTTGCCTGTTACCGCAGGTTTTAACATATTAGATATATGTACAGCATCAATAAATTACAAACCTAACGATCATTTTGAAAGATTTTTTTCGGTTCCCGATTATTGCAAATAAACTGTCTAGAACTTTTTGTTCTTTGTGACAAGTAATAGCTCATATGTAATTTGTGCCGAATAATCGACAGCTACTGTATAGTGACCCAACCCGACATACATGAAGTATTACGTTTATCGTTACTTTACGTCAGCTGGTCATTGTTATTTTTTGTTGTTTTGAGGTATTTTTTATTATATGCTCCGTTTGCACATGTAAATGTTTTATTTTTCATTTTGCTCGTATTTGTTTATTGTTTTTTAACGATACCTTTTGTATTCTTGAAAAGATCGGTTTTCCCCTTTTTTCAGTTCGTGGCAAAGGAGTTTCAGTCAATTTGGAGACCTTTCTTAAAACGTTTTGAATCCTCTTCATTTTTCGATCTAGTAAAGCCGAATATTGTACATCCGGCGGCCGTGACCTTTCAAATGTACCTCCCGGAAGTGCTCATTTCGGCGAAGCTGAATGCTGCCGCTTCGTTGGAGCCGCCGCGCACGCACGATCCCTGGAGGCCGGGAAGTATGCCGATTTAATGCTGATCCGGGCACCGCGATGGACGCATCTGGTGTATCAGCTGGGCAATTCCAGCCTGATTCGCGCTGTCATCAAGAACAGCAGCAATACCGTTTATGAATGTTATTAATGCTGAACACTGCCATTACATTAGGTTTTGTTCCATTCTGCGGGTTAATGAGATTTTTTAAAATCAACGCTTAAGAAGCGCAATTTAGTAGGCTCTTTAATAAGGCCATACGCTTCGAAAACAGACAAAAGGAGGGCTAGTTACAACAAATTCCCAAAGTTGCCACAGATTTGGCATGCTATAAAGCGGTCCATGCGACATTAAAAACGATTTTGTTAGTTAAAATTCTGATTGTTAAAAGTCTGATGCTGAGATTAAAATCGAAATTCTTTCCACTTCGGTCTTTTTACCCTATGACCTTTCCTGTGTAGTCCATAGCGTCCGCCATCACTGCCGTGAATTTTCGCGCTTTTCCTCCTCGCTGAGGTTGATTCCGCACATCCGACATTTTTCCGCAGGATTTCTGCTGTATGATGGATGCTCTTCAGGGGAAGATGAAGCTGTGGATCCGCTCAGCCTGCCAGGTGGTGCAGATCTGCACCAACGGCAAGAGGTTTCCCAGAGGCGCAGAGATGCAATAAGTGGCGGTGCTGCAGCAGCGTCAGCTGGCGGATAACACTGTGGACGGCGTTGGCATAACGTTATCCAGGTACAACTGTCAAGAACAATTTTCACCAAAAAACTAAATGGATTATTTAGAGGCAGAAGCCATTTTTACTGTGGGAGAGTTTTTTTGGTCGGTCGTAGTTTCAGAACTGAATTTTGCACAAATATTAATAAAGAAAACTGAATCATCAGTATAAAAGCTACTGCCAGACATATGTGCTAAATATGTTTCCCATTTCGCAATCTGATGAACTATTGTAAATGGAACTTGCGTAGTAAAAGGAACTTGTCGCGTGAGGTTTCCAGGAACTTGTGTAAAATTTTCGTATCAGATTATTCTTTATGTCGTATCTAAAAGGGTTGGACAACCTTTTCAGACCACTTCCCAGTTCCCAGCCACGCTTAGCGGTATGAGCTCTCTTCTCTCTCAAACTGGTATGGCGAAAACAACTTGGAGGATCGATGGAAATATGCGTATGAATACAGGGACCAGGAATCCCTATCAGAAGCCCTGCGAAACTCGAACGAATTTGCTTCTCACTTCCGGTCTCGGTTCTTACGCGGATTAGATAAAGGCGAAGGTCTTTGCGGCGCTGCGGTAACCCAAAGCTAAGATTAGACAAGAATCCCGAACTTCTAGGTAACCTTTAGAAAATACTGCCCTGTAATCCAATGCACATCGTAATCCTCGACACATGAAAGTCAGAAAAGTAAGAATACCAGAAATCAGAAGACTAATTCCTGACCGCTTCCGATATTAGCCACCACCCAAGCTTATATAGACTTTCAGTAGTATGTACAAGGCTTACATCGCCAGGAGTTTAGTGTACAGCCAATCACAGGTAGCGAGATAACTAGATAATAACACGGCGGGTTGTATTTACAGGTAAAGGCGGACATCATCGTGGCATCCGGGTGTACATCCTCCTCCCCACGTCATTTAGTTCAGAAGTGATTTAATTATAGTTATTGGTTTGTCGGTTTTGCAAAAAATTTTATTGTATGCAGCAAATCAAACAGAAAATCGCGATTCAGAAAAAATTCATTGGCGGTGAATTAAAATAGTATAAAAATTAAACTGTTAAAAAAACTGT